ACCTTTGGGCGCGCAAGGCAGCCACCGCGGGTCTTGCCAAGGCAGAATATGCGATGGGTTATTTCAGCGAAGTTGGCATTGGAGTTGCCGCCAATCTGGATGATGCCAAAAGATGGTATTGGCGAGCAGCTGGTAAGTTCTTTCCCGTATACTTTCCGCGGTCTCCGTGTATCAAGCTAATGTGTTTGCTCCAACCCACCAGCTCAAGGTTTTCCCAAGGCTCGGGAGCGTCTCGAGGAAATCAAGAAAGGTGGGGCTCGCATGCAAAAGACCCGTCTCTCGCGCTCCGCTGTCAATCGGCAACAGAACGAGGGCGATTGCGTCCTCATGTGAACTCAGATTCATGCGACACGTATTTCACGAAGTTGGTTTCCTTCGTGCTCCTAAGGCTTTTCTTGTTGTTATTTCTATGGCGTTGCTCTCCTTCGTCGGGCTAGATTGCATGTTTGCCTGCATTTGACGCATATACCCCTAATGATATTACCAACTTCGCATGTTGACGCAATGTATAATGTTGGAAAAGGTGCCACTTTAGAGACGGATGCTAGCTCTTGTACATTTGCTCTGCTGTCTCCGTTTTGCTTAATTGTGATGTACCGAAGGCATGAAGGCCATGTTCCATCCTCACGCTCTGCTCTGTCCTCTTGGTGCTGCGTAAACAACAGAGAGTCAAGAACCGCGGCCTTTTGATAATGTTGCATAGAGTGGGTTATAACGCCGCGACCACTATCTGATGTCCTGGACCCGTCCGATACACCAGGCCAGATCCGTTTCTCCAGCCGTGACTGGCTTACTGCATGGAAAGCTGACAGATTTTAATGATGTCGTCCACCCGCATCTGACATAACACAGCATCCAGAAATCCATCCGACAGTGTATAGGTTTTGTGGACATGGTCACACCATGGTACGGACGACATTGTCATGGTCTGACAGGGAAAGCACAAAGCGGGGTAGTTCCGCCTTTTGCTGTTAGCGGAACGGATGGGCCATTTGCTTAGTATTGATTACATTTGCTTTTGATTACAATTGCTTAGTATTGATTCTAACTGCTTAGTATTGATTACAATTGCTCCAAGGTAGAAGTTGAAGACGCAATCCTTTGATGAATAAATCCATGCTTAGAAATTCTCAGATTTTTAGCCCTCTGACTTGCTAACATCTCGCCCTGAGCTTTGTGTGCCCTTGTATATAATTCTTGTCTAGCCACCGCAAACACGGTTGACATCTTCCTTGTCCGCTTTATCCGATAGGGATACGGATATATATGTCTTCATCTGCCAACACTACCCCACCCAGCACAAGCGACCAAAATACCAGTAGGAAACTCGCGATTCTCTCGCTCACCTCTCTGTTAGTGGCGATACTCCTCGCTGCGTTCGGCTACGGGTTCAGCGCCGAAAATACCAATACCACCGCCAAGCTGTTCAAGCTTAGACGACTCTTCGGAACGCAGCCGGCTGCTGCGGTGAAGAGAGATAACTCGACAAGCTCTGGTATTCCGAAATCCGGCAGCACGATGCGAACTCCAGTTTACTTCTTGAGTCATGGGGGTGTGAGTCATTAATCTTTGTTCAGCGTAGATCGGGGAATGGTACGATTGACTGGGTGCTACAGCCGAATATCATGTATAAGCGAGACCACCCGGCGTACAGCAAATTAGCTGAGATCGGGCGCGAGATCACCACCAAAGTCAAACCGCGGGCTGTTGTGGTGTTCTCTGCGCATTGGCAGGCTGGTCACGACACGGTCCAGGTGAATACAGCCGAGACGACGGATCTTATATACGAGTAGGTGGAATCATGACATCGTGCTCGGTTATGTATGCTGAGTGGGCTCTGTTAGTTTCTACGGCTTCCCGAGCCACTATTACGAGGAAAAGTTTCCTAATGTCGGGAGCAAAGAGGTTGCGAACAAGGTGCTTGATGCGTTGAAGGAGGCGGGCATCAAAGCGGAGGGAGTTAAGAGAGGTTTAGATCATGGTGTTTGGGCCGGCTTCAAATGCGGTAAGTGGCTCGAGATACCCGGGCTCGAGATACCCGTTGCGTGAATTCGTGGGCCGATAGTAATGCGTGGAATGTAGCGTTTGAGCCAGACTCCAACCCCTTGAACGTCCCGATAGTGCAGGTGTCTTTGTTCGACACCGAGGATCCTGCTCAGCACTACCGACTCGGACAAGCGGTATCCAAGCTTCGCGATGAGAATATCCTGATCATTGCATCGGGTATGGCAGTCCACAACCTGCGCGACCTGCGGTCCAGTTTCGGCAACCCCAAGCCAATGCCGTACACTACTAGCTTTGACGAGGCCCTGAAGGACGCTGTCACGAAGCCGCCTGCAGAAAGAGAGCAGGCCATGATTGACCTCCTGAAGCGACCCGATGCCCGTCAAGCCCATCCATCCTTTGATCATGTGCTGCCCATTCATATCGGAGCTGGCGCTGCGGAAGATGATCTTGGAAAGAGACTCTGGACGTTCAAGGAGGGAAGTATAAGCTGGGCGCAGTATAGATTTGGTGATGTAAGCAATAATAGCGCGCTGTAGTAAGCATAATGAGATTTATATAGAAATTCCTGCTGCACTTGCGTCCTGAACGTGGTCGACGTATTTTGGATTCATCTATAGATACAGTATTGGACAGCTGGAAGAAAACGGTGCATGAACATATAAGACGGCGTGGCAATTGCACTACGAAGACTCCTTGACCAGCTGAGAGACTTTCTCTTCAATTTGCTGATCCGAAAGGCCTGCATGCATCCGCAGATATCAGTCAAAGCACTTGTACACCAGGATATTACCGAGACGTACCGGACAGCGATTCCTGCTTCTCCTTTCCAAATCCTGTGCATAATAGCTGTATTAGCCCAAACTGCTCTTCCATTGGCTTCTTCTCGTGAATATCCGCCGTACCGTATCGAGCATATACTCTGGGCAAAGTGCCTGCTGCCTCCCGGATCAGAATGGGAGTCTGGGGGTTGTGCTTCTTCATAGTCGGGTACGCGCGCTGCAGGAAGGACCTGCGATCGGAGGTCATAGAGTTAGTAATCGCCTTCAGCATCAACACCGCGATTGCCAGAATCTTACCGTGTAGCAGCGCTCTGCTCCGAAGACTGGCAGAAAAGGAAGCGGAGCTCCTTCAGACCTTTAGAGAAGGCGTATTTGGACGACATTATGCAAAAGAACAAATGATGTAAATGGACAAAAGCGTAACCTGTCGGAACAGACTATCCCCCCGTAAACGATAGCAATGGGTATCAATTGAGGATATTGAGCGCGAGAGAACCGACGAGGGGTGTTGCAGAGCACTTGATGATGATTCCGTCGGAGTTCGATTGTAGACCAATACGGTCAAGCGCAATGCCCGCTTACCTCAGCCGGAAAACGAGCCGCATTCCCAACGAGGCCGCCGAGGTCGGGCAATGGCCATACTGAGATATCTGATACATATCGTCGACCGGAACACCTCGCGTGCTTCGTTTCTTATTCTTCCTTAGACTATTTCCACTCATACTTCGGTGGGGTTCTTGATAGTTCTTTGCGCATCAACTTGTGCAAAGACCCCATCACTCTCCACTCAATTTCAGCTACCGGTCCTTCCCTCGATCACGACCCTTCAAACCTAGTCATCATTTCCGCCGTGATAACGCATTAAAATGTCTTCCTCGCGTATCGGTCTGCGCTTCTTCCAGAACACCCGGGCTGCTTTCCGCAATGCCTACGGTCCCTTCCGTCGGCCTGGTGCCCAGGGACGCCGTTTCCAGACCTCAGATGCCGGTGCGGCATCCGCCGAACAACAGAGCACTTTCCAGCGTCTATGGAACAGCCCTGTCGGCATCAAGACCGTTCACTTCTGGTATGTTTGGACATCCGATGGAGCAATCAATTGGTTATGTTCGCTTTTTGTTGGTCAACATGCTGACATGAGATGATTTAATCGGGTAGGGCGCCTGTCATGAAGGTATAGATCCGTGAACACTATCTCTTCCCACCGCCCCCATCACCCTCACTACGCACTGAGATATCTAGTGGCTGAGGGATTTCCGAACATTGGGTTGAAAACATATCGCTAACACCGTTTTCGTCGGAAACAGTGGGCTTTGGTCATTGCGGGTATCTCCGATTTTGGTCGTCCCGCTGAGAAGCTTTCCCTTACTCAGAATGCTGCCCTGATGGCCACTGGTGCTATTTGGACTCGCTGGTGCTTTATCATCAAGCCCCGCAACATTCTGTATGTTTTGTTCATTGTCACAAATATTCCTGGACTCGAGCGTACTAACTGTCAATCAGGCTTGCCGCTGTTAACTTCTTCCTCGGATGTGTTGGTGTCGTCCAGGTTACCCGGATCTTCATGTACCGCCGCAGCTTGGAAGGAGGATCGACAAAGGAGGCCTTGAAGGATCTGGAGCACGAGGTAGTTGACTCGGCGAAGTCCGCCGTCGGTAAGGCTGAGGCGGCTGTCAAGAAGTCTAAATAATGACTTCAGGTTAAATTTGGGAAATGCTCGCCTGCAATCGCAGATTGCAAGGACGCACGACGAGAGATATCCCTCTTTACTATAAGCAAAAGCGGCGTACACTACTGTATATACTCACCCTTGAATATGTGATAAATTGGCTGATAAAAGATGCGCCTTATCTTGCGCATTGAACGATCAGTTGTGTAGGTCTGATGGCACTTTAGGAGTCTTGGGTCATTGGGTGTTATGCTCGTACGTTTCCCAAGAATGACAGTCAACACTGTATTCAGGAGTCTTTTATTACTTGGAGTTAGGCTCAGGCCCTTATCAGCGGAACAATTGGACTGATAGGCTTGCTGTCAGTTGGCATCGTTCTTTCGTTATTCACAGTCAGTCTATATCGGCCTTGCCTGTTTGACTTTGACTTCTTTCTAGGATTAGCTTGATTTTATAAAGCAGACTATAAGATACTGACGGGTGGCGTTGTTGCAATTTCCTCTTTATATCTATTTAAAGTCTGCTGAGCGCAGTTCTACCAAGAAATAGCACGAGTGGCCAAGTGGCTAAGGCGTCGCACTTGTATCTACCCGCAAGGGTTGAGATCGCTATGCGAAGATCGGGGGTTCAATTCCCCTCTTGTGCATTTCTTTTTTCAACCCGACATCTTTTTATTCGCAGGAGCCTCTTCCATCAATCCTACTTTTTCCTACTTTTTATGTGAATATCGTCTTCTGATTCGAGATATCAACAGCATGACGAGCTATATTTTAGTTTAGGATTGTGTCGAATCACCTTGTTTTTGTTTCCTTTTTTTGGTGGTGATGTTTGTAGTTGAGACGGGTGATGCCATGCATATATTTGTTTGAACTTCCGAGCACTTCTCTAACCTTAGTCACTGCATTGGACCAAGCAGACACAGTTAACTCAAATGTCTCGCTTCGACGTTGCCATCTCTTATTTGGCGCACATTTAACCCTAGCAACGCCCATTGGAGATCTAGCCACAGGCCGTGCATCTTCCAATCCTGGCAAAACCAATAGTACCTGGAGAGCCTCGCTCGAGAGGTAGCAGCAATTGATTCAAATAAAGTGTCACACCTCATATGGATTTTGACCATCTTGCTGCAAAGCCCGGAGGATTGGGAGGGAGATGTGTTCGAGTTTCTGGTTCGTTTCCCAGATTTCGGGCCTTTTGGAAGTCCTACGTGACTATGAAAACAAGTCGATCAAACAATACCTCCTCTCTAGTCACAACCCCTCTGTCCACGGGTGGAGCGCTCTATGGAGACTGGGGTATTTTGGGTATGTTTAGCAGCAAGATACAGCTCCATGTTCTATGAAATATATTGGACATTTACCGCCCATCGGTATTGTGGAGTCTTTTACTTCTCTTGAGGACCGCATACAGGTTCTGGCTTCGATGATCGCTATCCAATTGATAAGCTACAGTCATCATTGGTATTTATGTAGCAATCGAGAGATCCCAAGCCATGCTCAAACAAGATGTAGACGCTTATTGAAGACTAAGTGAGAGAGCTTCCTGTCAGCCAACTGGTTACTGTTCAATCCAAGTGCAGACGTATAGCGACAGTCTCAGCTCTACCAAGAGGCCTAGATCCAGTACGCTAGGTTTGACAGCCTGACGATAATAATGGCATGAGGGCCTTATGTATTTAGAAGGAAATCTTCCTGATGTTATCAGTGGCTTCGAGCGACACTTGTAAATCGCACGGGTGGGCTCTGGACTGTTATTTGGTTCTGTTGCCCCTGGTGCCTACCCGTACTGTGCAAGAGGATTTCGTTAGGCTCGATCCTTCGAGCGCCATCACATTGAATTTTGTCAGTTTGCTTGCAGTGAGCTCGGAAACGCACTTGTTCTACTTTTGAGATGATGCTTTGGGAGAGCTGGAACTAATATCTTATTTAAGCAGAGACGAGTTCGCAGTCAATTGCAATCCATGTCAACTATCAACTACCGACGAATAATATAGCCGGAGGGTAGCGGATATTTAAGAGCTTCAAGCTACGAAGGAGTACATAGTTTTTCCTTCCAATCGGAGGAATTTCTCTTCACCCCCAATTTATCCCTCCTATCAGAACTTCTAGACCGGTGCTCTAACCAATCTTGAGTATAGACATCGAAGGCCAAGCGGGCTAAGTCGATTAGTGCTCTGGATTTCAACTATTTTTCTGGGGTCATCGACATGAAACACCTGCAGAAGCATCATCTTTGAGCTTCCCCAATCTCCACAATTGCTCCGCCGGGGTGCTCCCCGGGTAAAGGCAATTTCCACCCCCTCACTCCACAAAATGTCTATACTAGTTAATGCTGGGGATATGCAGCTTGAGTTAATTTAGATCGAGGATGAATCCAACTCATATATAAACATCACCCCTGTGACCCACAGTCTTCTCTCGTTCAGCGATCTTCTCAGGAAGTGCCCACCTTTCTTGAGGTTACATACTTGTCAAGCGCCATGAAGTTCTCGTTCAGTCTTGTCCAGGGCGTGAGCCTGTTGCTCTCCTTGAGTCCTTCCGTTGAAGGTTTCACTCGCTCGAGAAACGATGCATGCAAGCCCAATCACCCATTCCAGCCTCTACCGTCCAGTGTGCCTCGGACAAAAACATGCCATGTTGTCAGCAACGGCAATGGTAGCGACGACTCCAAGAACATCGTGCAAGCATTGCATAAATGCAACAATGGTGGCAAGGTTGTCTTTGATGCCAACAAGGTGTACACTGTGGGTACCGCCTTGGACTTGACATTCCTTAAGAACATTGACCTGGGTAAGAATCCATACTGTCGAGTTCAAAATCGACCATTGCATGCTTACGTGAATGAACAGAGGTGCTTGGGAAGATTCAGTTTACCAATGACACCGACTACTGGCAAGCCTATGCCTTCAAGCACGGCTTCCAGAATGCTACGACCTTCTTCCAGCTTGGTGGTGAGGACGTCAACGTCTATGGTGGCGGTACCTTTGACGGCAACGGACAGGTCTGGTACGATCTCTACGCAAAGGATGCGCTCATCCTGCGTCCTATACTGTTCGGTGTTATTGGACTGAAGGGAGGAACAATTGGGCCTCTGAAGCTCCGCTACTCGCCCCAGTGGTACCACTTTGTGGCCAATTCTTCAGATGTGGTCTTCGACGGCATCGATATCTCCGGATACAGCAGCAGCAAGAACGTGGCTAAGAACACTGACGGATGGTGAGACCCGTCTGCTCCGGGAAAATCATCTCTATTCTGACCCTCGCGACAGGGATACCTACCGCTCGAATAACATTGTCATCCAAAACTCTGTCATCAACAATGGCGATGGTATATCTGCTTACACCCAACCTCAAGGAAATAAACTGACAGAACATGCAGATTGCGTGTCCTTCAAGCCCAACAGTACCAACATCCTCGTCCAGAACCTCCACTGCAACGGCTCTCACGGCATCTCCGTCGGCTCTCTTGGTCAATACAAGGGCGAGGTTGACATTGTGCAGAATGTCCTCGTCTACAACATCTCCATGTTCAATGCATCGGTAGGAATATCACGCGCCCACCGGAGTTGCTCAATAGCTGACGATTCTTGCTAGGATGGTGCTCGTATCAAGGTGTGGCCCGGTGTGTCGTCCGCCCTGTCTGAGGACCTACAGGGCGGCGGTGGCCTGGGGTCGGTGAAGAACATCACGTACAACCAGATGTACATTGAGAACGTCGACTGGGCTATTGAGGTGACCCAGTGCTACGGACAGAGTAACTTGACTCTGTGCAACCAGTACCCTGTACGTCCCTTCTAGTTCGTACGCGATTCGTGTTTAACTGACCAAATCTACAGAGCAACCTCACCATCTCAGACATCCACTTCAAGAATTTCCAGGGAACAACATCCGGCAAGCGCAACCCCGACGTCGGCACAATTGTCTGCTCCAGTCCGAATGTAAGTGCGACACTATATGTTACGAAAGCAGCGGTTCTAATGCTTCCAGGTTTGCTCCAACATCTACGTTGAGAACATCAACGTGAAGAGTCCCAAGGGAACAGATGAATTTGTTTGCACCAATGTAAGTCTGCATTTAGACAGCGTAGGGGACAAGCTAACCGCATTTACTAGGTTGACAAGAGCCTTCTGAATGTCAACTGCGCATAGATGCTCCGCTGTGACGGGATAATGTAAATATCTGATTTAGACCGAGATAGTGTCTCATAATAGGACTATTGGTTATTGCCAATCTACAATGACGTAAAGAGGTTGCCTGCTCATTCAGTCCGAAATATGACTCCATCATATACGGACCGAAAGCCAGAAGCTCAGTCAGCTATTAGCAATAAGCAATCGGGAAAACCCCATCCCCACGCAGGGTGGAGCAACACAGTAGACTAGTATATGCGGGGTTCGGCACAATTCCGCTGTAGCCTGTACAATGGAACGTGAGGAAAGATTACAGAGCTCGTACATGTATTGGCATTAGTATATCAACAAGGCCGTTACAAAGAACAAGTCTGGACATCGGAAACAGCACGTCTACCATGGCCTCGAAAAGAAGCACAAGCATCATCGTAACCGGTCCGTCCGTCCCTCCCATACCCACAACTTCTTTCCAATGATAGTAGATCTAACACCGAAAGACTGAACAGGAGGCGCCTCAGGCATCGGCCTGGGCATCACCCGCTACTTTGCCCCCAAACCAAACACCCACATCACCGTCCTCGACGTAACCGACGGCACCGCGATCCTCAACCAGCTACGCACCGAGTTCCCCTCCGCAAGCCTGTCCTTCTCGCAATGCGACGTCTCCTCCTGGGAAAGCCAAGCAGCGGCCTTTGAGGAGGTAGTCGCCCAGCAAGGACACATCGATATCGTCTTCGCGAACGCCGGCATAACACAGAAGGGAGACCTACTGGCCAACATCCACGACGCGAAGCCTTCGAAACCGGAGCTGAGGACGTTGGATGTTAACCTTGTCGGCGTGATATACTGTACCTCTCCCCTTTCCCCTCCCCCTTCACTTTCCAGGAAGTGCTAACACTGAGTGCCAGCGGTCAAGCTAGCCGCGCATTATATGGTGAAAAACCCGCCAAGAGGATCAGAGATAGGCCTCTCGAAGGGAAGCATCATCTGCACGGCGTCAAACGCGGGGATCTACCCGTTCCCGATTGCGCCGCTGTACGCGGCGACGAAGAGCGGCGTGATCGGCCTGGTGCGCTCGCTTGCGCGGTCCCTGGAGCGAGAGCAGATCCAGATTAATGCGCTGGCGCCGGCTGTTATTGGTTAGTCTACTCGATTTCCTTGAGAGGTTCAGGAGGGGTATGTAGGGTGTTAGCTGATTGAAGTAGAGACGAATATTGCGCCGGATTCTGCGTTGTTCAGATCCATGATTCTTACGCCCATGTCAACTGCTACGAGGGCGGTTGCGCAGCTTGTTAATGACTCTTCGTTGACGGGGAAAGTGCTGGAATTGCATGGGGAGGAGGTGACGTTTGCGGAGCCGCCGGCGTATGTCGATGAAGATACGGGGACGAATATTGAGATGTTCTGGAAGCTGGGATATGCGTAGTAGATTACGCGGAGAAGGATGATGGGGTCGTGAAGAAGAGGTCGTAGCTATTTTGCTAGACCTGAAGGTTGATTTCTAATGGGTGGACCTAACGCCCGCTGCCCCTAATTATACATCGATTCATTATCGTAAAGCCGGCCCGTTACCAACGCCGAATACCAAATAACACCGGTATATATGTCGTTATTCCCGTTTATCCTAGTCAGTCGCTCTCATCCTGGAGCAGCACCTTGAGCTTCTCCAGCTTATCCTCGCACTTCACCTCCATCTGCATCACCACATCGACACTCTTTTTCTTCGTGATGAGGAGCTGTGACACAAGCCAGAAGTTGTAGCCGTTCTTGTAGAAGCCCATGGACGCCCACTCGTGGCTGGAGACTGTATTTCGCAGCGCCAACCAATGATCGCGCCATCGTGACAGTGCTGTTCGGATAGCGGCTAATGTGAAGTCTTCCGGAATGGCATCTCCAGGGGTTTTTGTGGGCGTCGAAGGCCCGTGTGGTATTTTTGAATTGGGCAGTTGTGCTTTGCGTACCAAGGGAGCCAGGAGGGTCATGTGTGTATTTATGAAGGCATACAGCACTAGAGACGTGTGAGTTCGTCGTCATTTGAGCAAGGGATACGGTGGACATACAATGAATGAGAATAAACATATCGAGGACGGTCATATCCGCAATATGATCTGGAACATGGACTTGTGAACCATCCTCGTTGGCCGTGTTGTCGAACAAATTCTCAAAGGCTTTGCATATGGGAATATCCCGCGAGAATCGGAAATTCGGCTCCACAAAGGGATGCTGCGAGTCGAAGACTGCCTCTTGGCACGGAAAGTCCCATTCTACTTCTGTGTGGGATATACGGCAGGGGTAGTTTGAATAAAACGAGAAAGCACAGTCGAGGAGTGATATGATGTTCATGGTGCTGCAGGCGTTCTGTAAGTCTTTGAACACAAACATGGAATGACCATAGACATACCGAATACGGCATTCCTTCTGGATCCACGAGTACTCGTCCGTCCGATCATGGGGCATATGACGGCATTTCATGAGTCCGATTCGACGAGCGACCTGCTCAGACAAGTTAGCAGCCAGAACTTGCGGAGCTTGCACTATCAAACCCACCTTGACGACTTCGCTGAATCTGTTCTCCATTACTCGATTGCGTGATACACGACTTCCAGCCCAGTATTGCACAACGACAATAATGAACCCGGCTTGGAAGTTCTGGAATTGAACCCAGTCGTTGGGCTCGTCGTCCAGACATCGATTCCCACAAAACATCGAGCTGATCTCGATCTCGGACGCATAAACCTCGCTGGAGAAAATGAAGAGCTCGGCGAAATCCAGCACTCGCTTCGCAATATATGCTTCCCTCTCGTCATTGGAGTACATGGCGCCCATGAAAGTGACAGCCGTCAGTAGCGGTAATGACACAACTTCAGGATCGAACGACGTGCGATGAAGCATCGCACAGCTCGGTTGCCAGTACTTAAAGTACATTGCCACAAATTTGCGAATACGGCTTGTCGTCAGAAGGAAATTAAGATTTGTCGACAACTCCTGTTGAGCCTTTGCGTCAAGGGGCACGGACCAGGCCCTCGCGAGGATAGATTGTATCATTCCGGTGGCGAAGGGCCGTTCAGGTTCGTAGCTCACTTGCCCTGCTAGTGTCAGGTTGGGATCCTGTCCGGGCGGGACGACAGCATGGTAAGCAACCTGCCCCGCGTACGAGTCGTCCAGTAGCTTGTGAGGATCGCCAAAGGGGCCGTTGAAGAAGTCAATGAAAGTGTCTTGGAAAAAGGACAGGGTAGCAGCGTCGGACTCGATGAATGTCGGTGCATAATCTGTCTGGTCATCTTTCAACTCATAACCGAGAATGGAACTCCCCGCTTCTTCGAGACTTTTCTTGTTGTGATATTCGAGGCTGCGTGTTCGATCGCTGCGCGGAGGAAGGAGGAATTGCTGCGTGAAACTATCGGTACCGCCATTGAGAAGAAATTTGATCGATCCACGATCTGACGATTGTTCGTAGTCTTCGCGCTTCTCTGTCAAAGCGTCTGCCCAGTTGGGAAAGTCAACGACGCGACGTGTGAATGAAGAGACAGGCCATACCTGAATCAGTCCCTCGGTTCAAGACTTGCTTTTTTCGCTCGTTGTTGCATTCGATTCCTCGTTTCTGACAAGAGCTGCAGGGATTTAATCCGTCGCACCGCAGTTTCATCGACGTGCACTAAAGGCGAAGGGACGATTAGCGGCCATTCCACGCAATTAGCAGCAATGTCGAATTACCGATTGGCAAGCATGTCGTCTTCTCCCTCGCTGTCCCGTATCAGGGATCTGCCGATCCCCCCTTTTAGGACAATCTGAGTAGTGGTCACGAAGGTTGTCGCTGCAACATGATTAAGGGCAAATGTTAGCGTCAAGGCGCGGTGAGCAGAACAGCAAAAGAAACGTGCCAAGCAACGAGGCGCAACTGGCACATCTCTTTTTGTTAGAGAATCACAAAAAGCAACAGCGTACCAACGAGCGAAGGAGTCATTGCAGAAGATACAAGAGTAAGGTTTGATCCCGGAATCTAAGAAGTTATTCCAGCGAGTCAGTCAATCAATCTGAGTTCAGGCCATGAGTTTCGTAGCGAGATTCCTACGATCGGAGCGGCAAGGGAGAGCTGGACGGGAGGCAAAACCACATACGGCGAAGATGATGTCTTTTCAGATGATCAATGCGCGTAAAGCCTCGCTGACAGATGGTGCAGCGAAAATGTTTGTCGGTATCAGGCTTCATAATGGAGAAGAAGCGTTGGCGCGCATCGGGGAGAAGCTCAAGGGATGGGGAGGAAGTCTGGGGTAAAGGGAGAGTGGAGGGAAATTGGAGGGGAAGGAGGAGGCGGAGTTACAGGAGATCAACCGCAGAAGACAGAACTATGATGCGCTCATTCCTGCGCGGGACTAAGATAGGCAAATAGTGGCCGGAACTGTTAAAAAAAGATGAGGATTATCTGCAGCAGTAGGAACATTAGAAGTACTGACAAAAGTGCTCACTTCCCAGTCTCCAATTCCCCTTGAAGAAACTTTGTCGCTAGCCGAATACCTACGTAGATACTTCATTTTCCCCTCCTAAGCAAGTAACCAGTGAACTTACCTCTTACTCCTCCGTATGTACCATGACAATCTTAACCCGGTTCTAACCGTACGTAAACTCATGACAGTACAGAATACAGAACACCCGAGATACAGGTAGGTGATCCCCCGCAAACCTGACCCAATCGCTGCTGAAACAGTACGTGAGGTAATCTCAGAGAGTAACCCGAGTCGCTCGTTCGGAAACCGCCAATTGTCTTTCCCGGCGGGTTCTCCTCACTTTCTGGTACACCGATTGCCTTTCTGAGCTTAGTTCAAACACTACTAAGTTGGCGTTATTGCTTGTCTGTTAGGACAATACACCACTACGCTGAGGTACCTAGGTATGTATGAAATCCTAGATTTGCGAGTACATCACCACACGCAGACTACTACTGACACTTGGTAGGGAAATATGGATTCTCGCAGATAATGTCTCAAGTCAGCATTTCCAATATTAGTAGTGTCACTGCTAGGATGACCATGTTCATTAATTAGGTAGCGCAATGACATTTGTTGGAAAATCAACTTCGTCATCGTTCAGATAATCCACGTTGATCGTCTTCAACTTTTCGTTCTCCGTCCAGCCGTCTCCGAGCCAGCCGTTCGGATTGTCATTGACATAGTCGTAGGTGTAATCCTCCCAACGAGGATACGCCAGAGCTTTCATTGAATGAAGCGAGGAACCTGAGACTTGTTAGTGATGCGAAATACGGCACTTGCTCACACCAAGAGTGCTTACCGGGCCATAATGCAGTAACTCTGCCATCCTCGGTCCCTCCCTTGTACCAGCTACGGCATTTCTCGCTAAACACTGTTCTTGAGAAGTACTGGTCACAGTGGCGAGTAAACATTTCTACCGCTTCCTTTCTCACACTCATCGCTCGGATGTTATCACGCTGCATCTTCTGTGCGCAGAGTGTGAAGTAATCAATCTCCTTCTCAATCAGAAGCAACAGGTTACCCTCGCCGAGTGCCGCGTTCGGCCCCAAGCAGACAAAATAGTTTGGGAATCCATCAACTGCCAAGGAGAGATAAGTCTCTGGTGTCTTCTGCCAGCGGTCGGCTAGAGTGACACCGTTGCGTCCGATGATTGGGAATCTCGGAGTGAATGTGGTGTCGAATCCAGTTGCGCAGACAAGCACATCCGTGGGATGATGTTGTCCGTCTGCTGTGATGATCCCCTCTGCATCGACTTTGACGATATTACTTGTGATGATGTCCACTTTGTCATCTGTCAACGCTTCAAGATAGCCCGGGCCTGGAGTGAGCCGTCGGCAAACAGGAGGAAATGAGGGGATCAAGTCCTCGCATAGCTCAGGTTTTCTTGAGAGTCGGCGCTTCATATTCTGTAAGAAGACCTCTCTCGCGCCGATCTGTTCAGCTGTGCCAAGTAGCGTCACACCATGGACTGATTGCAGCTGGAGTTCGATTTCTGCTATACAATTAGTACCGATGATCACGGTATCTTTAACGAGAAGCTCTCACCTTTGCGGAACTTTTGGTAGGCGCTGTGGTCCTTCTTGAATGTTTCAATCTCTTCTGGAGTAAACGAGACTATTCCAACGAGGTCAGTGTATTTTGCCTGTATGACTGGATGAGTTGACAAACAGTTCTCCAGTTCAGCTCCACCTCTTTTATCCACATGTTGGCGGGCAAAGGTTGGGGAAAGCCAAGTACGCCCCCTAATGTAGTGGTCGATATGGGCTACCTTTGGCAGCATGCCAGGAACGATCTGGATGCCACTTGATCCATTTCCTATCACCGCGGCTCTTTTGCCCTAGCTAGAGGGTCAGCTCGCATTTTCTAAATACTCCAAGGCCCACTCACGGTATAATCATAGCTCTCATCCCAACGAGCACTATGCTGCAGTTTGCCTTTGAAGTCGTGCAAGCCTGGGATATCTGGCCACTTCCACGAGTTCAATGCACCAGTTGCGGAGATCATTATATTGCATTCGTCCGAGTACACCGTGTCTGTCTGAATGTCTTGAACCTGCGTTCAATGTCAGCACTGACTGTCGATGGATGAGATACGGAGATCGACCTTCAATTGCCACTTGCTCCTCAAGTCGTCCCAGACAGCTTCAACGACTCGCTGCTTCAACTTGACGTACTCCATGCAACCGTACCTTTCAGCCACCCGTTTCCAGTACGCGTGGATCTCCGGAGCGGCAGCATAGAATGTCGACCATTCTTTGTTTGGCTCAAAGGTAGCTTGATACGTATGGGCTGGGATGTCTGCGAACATCGTAAGCGTCGGTCGTCATTGACGCGAGACAATCCTCGCAGGAAGAAGGAAAGTCTCACCACATGCACAACCGGGATATCTGTTCTCGAGCCATGTGCCTCCAATATCTTCATTCTTTTCATACACACAAAGATCCACGTTGGGGATCCGTTGTCTGAAGCGAATGGAAGCGATGATTCCAGAAATGCCTGATCCAATGATAACGACCCTCAGGGGACGGGCTTCGTCGATGGAACGCTCTTCTACGATCCACTTATCCTCAACAGGTCGTGCCTCTTGGCTCTTGGAACTGCTGCCAAAGAATAGACGTCTCATATTGTTTATAAGAACAGGAGGGGATTTATTAGAAAGGTATGTAAGAGGAACAATCAAGGCAAGATGCTGTATTCTGAGAGCAGGTTACACGAATAGCCTGGTTAGGCGCCCGATATAAAGCTGCGAGCATGCACACTATATAACCAACAAACCAGGATACACGACCAATTTGAGAACACTCGAACCAGACCAAAGAGCGGGGAGCCCTGCCTTTCCGAACCGCTCATCCCCTGCTCGCTTTTCCCAACTGCTGTTCTGGACTCCTCCATGGACAACAAAGCTACGCAACCCCTGTTCCTCCCCGTTGGGACGCCAGCAGCCGCTCAAGCGAATCTAGTATCGGGGAGGATTAGTTATTCGCTTTGGCCCATGAGGCTCCTACGTCTCCTACCGTTTCCGTCCTTCAACTGGGCTCAACGGACAAAGGTAGCATGATTTCATCGCTGCCATCTACTTTCGGTTGCAGATGCGGATATGGGCTCCAGTCTCGGGATTCCCCCTTCACCCGTCTCTCAAGCCCCTGGTGGTTAAACCCGGACTCCATTTGCGGGGTCAGAAGCATTCGTGATGCTGACGTTTGGGACCATATGTAGAAAGCAAGGATTCAGACATAACCGAAGGACTCTGCGTTTGTTTCAGTGAGCTGAACTGACAGGAACCGGCTGTTCAGTGGCCGAGACTCACTCTATGTCCTGCTAATGCTAGTGAGCTGGACAAGCGGAAGCCTTCCATAGCCGCAAGGACTATATCCTGGACCTCGTCTGTGATTTCCAATCGCAGCGTATGAGTCGCAACTTCGGCCAAATCGGCATGTTGGCAATGCTGTCTCCCGCGCGTTGCCCTGAACCCTGGATATGCCGCACCGCAACCGGAAAACCCCGCGTAGATACACCCCTGTGTACAACTGACATATCAGACCGCGGAATGTAAGCGCCCAAAGACTGGACAAGCCACCTGCCAACGCACGGACGCTGTTCCACGGCGGAGAAACCGGAGATACCCCGAAACTAAGTATGAGGGATGATGCATGCATTCGACGAAGGAATCATTTTCCACAAGTAGAATGGTCTCTTCACCCTGCCCTAGCCCACCATGATGTCTGCTTCCAGATAAAGGGATATCCGTTATTCCGTCCACACGCATCATTCATGGTTTTCAATACATCGGGATTCCCCCTGGCACAAACTCTCTCCCCCACAAACTGGGACTGTATAGAATGCGGGGTCCCGGCTCAAGAATAGTGGTCAACTGCCGTTGAAGGGGTTGACGATCCGAGGCTACTGATATTGAGTGTTGCTGAGTGTGGGATGGGACTTGATACAGCATGCTCTGGATGGCCTCGAGTAACCGATATCTTGGACCGCGGATCAGCGATATCGACGCCTCGGCTATAGTAATCAATAGCTTGGGGTTTAGCGTTTTAAGCAGTCCTTCAATTAGGTTCCCTTTATAGGACAGAACTTCCAGCTTCCAAGATGATTCAAAGTGGTAGACGCATATGCCAAAACGTGATGATAGTATTGGAATGTTATATTCATCTTCTCGTCAAAAAGCATGAAGTCAGTAGAATGGGAGTACGTCTGTCTGTTTATAATGTCCACACGTGATGCGTGACGTGTCTCCTGAAGCCCATCAGGCTACAGCAAACTGAAGAGAAGGACTAGACACCTAAATCTCCGTTCATCTTCAGTAACCGACAACCGTGATCAGAATTAACGTAGACCTCACAAGAGCCTGTTCACTTTACTCATCTCAACAGCAACCATGCATTCAACCTCGATTTCAGAGGGAACCAGCTCAGGCCAATCCCCCCTGCAAATCCACATCGACGAACTCTCCTCCTTACCCCTCCACGACACCATCCAAAGCTTGGCACACCTCCTCCCCGAACTAACCCCCTCCATCACCGCAACAGGCGAACGCCTCGTGGCGCACCCTACCTACGAAGGAACGGGAAAGCTTGACGACCTGGGCAGACTCTACCTCCTTGCCGCGGATCGATGTACCCGCGAACACGCATCCTTCAAAACCCGTCTCCTGCATATATCCCTCGATTCCGTGATCGAAGCACTCTACGTTTCTAGTCAAGAGCAGCTCGAGAAGGGGATGGCAGATGGATCTGTGCATCTCCCTCCTCGACTAGATCAGGGGTGTGCATGTTGCAACGGCGAGCCCGCTGCCGTGATCCTGTGCGGTTTTCATGAGGGGAATGCGTTGTATTTCTGGGAAGATGAATACAAGGCTTTCTGGGGGGAGGAGGAGAGCAGGGGGCAACGATCTGGTCTGGGCGAGACTTGGCTTATGGCTTCGAGGGAGCAGGTTGAGCGTGCGATGGCGCGGGAGGAGGCGAGTGTCATTCCTAGTATGCTTTAGATGATTCGATATGTGTTAGAGGGTTGAAAGTTTCCTGTGGGGTTGATACTTGTGAAAACGCTTCTTGGAAATTATCATTCTTTGTAATGTTTGGTGTGTCTAACTTACTGGGAGGCATACTGCTAGTAAGTTTAGCATCGAACGAATGCCCCGCACTAGGATCCAGTGTCTAAAGAGTGGATCACAACAGTCTGGATCAGAAAGTCCTGAGCCGATCGGAGGTCGATCAGGGATTGGTGAGCTTCGTGTAATCATCTTGTCAGCAGCAGCTTCCCCAGTGTTGCATGGCTATTCGTTCAAGCTATCCCTGTCCACTCCGCCTTTAAGCATCCGCCGTATTTCCGAACATGTATATCAAAAACAATGATGGCATCTGGTGCAGCAATATCGTGAAGGATCACTGCAAGATTGATTTCTCTGCGAGTGCGCGAGGGGTTTTTCCAGTACATACTTGCAAGAAAATTTATTACTTATCCGATTGTTTGCGCTTATAGTCCGGTCGCAATCACCATACAATTCCTGCCTACAAGTATCTTCCCGATTTTTGAGATCTTTTACCTTGAATGCACTTTTCAATTGAATATGCCTGTATTCACTGAATACGCTGCCTCGTCGCGTGAACTGCGCGTTCTGCCTTCCTTTGCCCCGCCACTTCCCCGCCTTTCCCCGCGATTTACGCGTGCCGAAGGAGCCGAGAAATATGAAGTCGTCATTGTCGGCGCTGGTCCAGCAGGGCTGATGCTACACCTGCTTCTGGCACGATACGGCCTCAACGATGACTCTTTGCTCTGTATAGACGCAAAACCAGGCACGCTCAAATCGGGGCAGGCGGACGGCCTGCAACCCCGCACGCTCGAAGTCCTCAAATCTCTCGGGCTCGCGGACGAGATCCTCACCGATGGCTGTCACATGGAAGAGGTTGCGTTCTGGAATCCGTCGCCTGACAAGGAGAAGGTGATTGAGAGGACCTCGATCGTTCCCGACGTGGCTGTGCCGGCCCGCTTCCAACATGAAGTCACTATCCACCAGGGTCGCATTGAGCGGATCCTCGAAACAGATCTGCTTCGGTATTCGAAACGAGGCGTGCAGCGGAATACCAAGCTTGTGGACGTCAGGATCGACGAGGCAGGCGATGCGGAATTCCCAGTCGTGGCCCAGATCGAGACGGACGGCATCCGTCGCACAATACGCTCCAAACACTTGGTAGGCGCGGATGGTGCCCACTCGGTAGTCCGGCGCTGCATGGGACTCAAGCTGGTCGGCGAGTCGATGGACCATATCTGGGGCGTAGTCGATCTGGTAATCGACACTGATTTCCCCGATATTCGAAGACGGTGCGCCATCCATTCACCGGCCGGGTCTGTCATGGTCATTCCGCGGGAGCGCATCGCGACGGGCGATTACCTGACTCGGCTCTATGTCCAAGTACCTGAAGAGACACCTCCTGAAGAGGATCAGAAGCCTGTTAATGGGACTACTTCTCAGTCCAAGGGAGATGCACGCGCGCGCAGAAGCCAGGTGACCCAGGAATCGATTTTTCGGCATGCGGCACAAGCCTTCAAGCCGTACTATATTCGACCTAAGGAAGAGGGCGCAGTCGACTGGTGGGCTGCGTACCAGATCGGTCAGCGAGTCACGGACAATTTCACCGTCAAAGACTCGAAGGGAATCAATAGGGTGTTTATTGTGGGAGATGGTACGTGATCATTGAGCAGTTTTGAAGAAGCTTGCTGATTGTCCGATCTGCCTCAAGCTTGTCATACACATAGTCCAAAGGTACGTGACGATCCTAAGCCCTTCAACATAATTTGCTGACGAGGATGGTCAAGGCTGGCCAAGGAATGAATGTGTCAATGATGGATTCGTACAATTTAGCCTGGAAACTGGTGTATTCCCTCCATGGCCTCACTCCTAGTTCGGCGGTCCCCGGACAAGCCGATGCTATAGTGGATACATATCACTCTGAGCGCCATACAATCGCCCAAGAACTCATCGAGTTCGATCGTGCATTCTCATCCATGTTCTCCGGCAAGATTGGGGCGTCAGAGGATGGAGTCGAGGGGCTCACCCACGAACAGTTCCTCCAAGTTTTTAGCACGGGCAATGGATTCACTAGTGGTTGTGGTATTGAGTATCATGGCAGCCTAATGGTGGAGAAGGCTTCGGATGACGTTGCAGAAAACCCAATTACCGGGACAGATTACCTGTCCGGTGTCCTTCGTCCAGGCAGAAGATTACTTGACGTCCGTTGCACGCGCCATGCAGACGGCAACAGACGTCACTTGCATGACGGTATGTTGTTCTAGCATCACACTGTTCCTCTGCAGCCCAACACTGACAATACCCAGACTTTCTGTCGACAGGTCGCTTCCGCATTCTTTGTCTCACATCTTCGGATCTACTGGAACCCAAGGGGGTTTCCGCCCAGGTATTGACCTCTCTAGGATCATCTGTCCTTCCACGATTCCCGCCAAACATTATTGAGCAGGTGGTTATCCATCCTCGCTTGGGTAAGACATTCATGTGGCAGGACGTGCCGAGTGAACTCAAGAAACACTCGGAGATGCGGTTCTACAACGGTTACGAGTTAGACGATGTGTACAAGATCTACGGCGTGGACGAGACGAGGGGTGCTTTGGCTGTCGTTCGACCTGATGGATATGTTGGCATGGTGGCGGCGTTGGAGGACGTAAAGCGTGTACAGGAGTACTTAGAGAGGTGTGTGAGGACTCTCTAAAGCCAAGTGATGTATGATAGTATAAAGGCATCGCATACCGCCAAGTAACGATTCATTTCCCCGATGCAACTGATTATTATGTAATTCCAGCCATGAGGAATGTTCCTGAGATATTCTTAGAAGACAGCACGTGACCGGTCAAAACGGGAGATTAGTCACCAGCACGTGGCTGAGGTGCCGAAAAGCCGATTTTCTCCTCTTTTCTAAACGTTTTCGTCATATTCAATGACACTTGACTGGTCACGATGGAGGCGATGACGGCTCAGGCCGCTCACGGAAAGCCCCTGTTGGGCCTCAGCCGACGGTGGAGAGCCAAAACCAGCGACACTGTGTCTGTCAAGCTTTTCTTCTCCAATGAAGATGGGCTATCTGTAAAAAACCCGCCATGGCCTCTCTCCACTTGTCGGTCTTAAGCAACTTTTATCGCCGCTGTCGCTTTCTTGCAGGTGGGATCGCCATACAAAACCTGCTCTGTTCCTGCTTGCGTCCCTCTGGGGCCTTCTGCGGTGGTCATGTTGATACAACTGTGCCTGGTCTATCGCTATTCTTGTCTACTCCTACCGGAACTTTGGTATACATAAGTACTCTCTATTTACAAGAGTCGCGTGACATTTTTACGGAGTGATTGGCCATGACTCAAGATGGAGGAAAGGAGACTGGACATACTAGGTCGCGATCAACATCGCTAAATAGCACAAGTGACAGTCAGCATCTGTCACGGACAAGTTCAACAGAATCACAACGCTCGCGGAGTTTGAGACTTGTATCTATAACGAGGACGAGGTCGGAATCTAGAACCAGGAGAGCAAATCTCGACAGAGTGTACTCTGGCAGGCACCTGGATGATCAGTCAGTCTACCACAGCGATGACAACGCTCCTGAAGCCCATGCAGTAGATTCACCTGCAGAGGATCATGACGAGAAGCAGGGGACCCCCGTGCTTGAAGTTAGAGGAGGAATCTTGAACGAACGTGACACTGACTTGGAAGCGGCTGCTCGTGATCAGAGTGCGCTGGAAAAGTCACGAACGGCCAAGTCTGATAAATCACGGGATCCTAAACTGGTAAGCTCAAGCCGTCATCTCGAGGATATTCTGTCCGAGGGCATTAATAACGCCGCGACAGGTAACATGGGATGGCCCCGATGACCCTGAGAACCCTAAGAATTGGTCAAACAATAAGAAATGGGCTGCTATTATCACGGTCTCCCTCTTCACTTTTATCTCTCCAGTGTCTTCGTCCATGGTTGCCCCTGCGTTGCCGTCGATTGCAAGCGATTTCCATATCGAGGACCAGGTCTCTTCCCAGCTCACTCTCTCCATTTTCGTGTTGGCCTATGCCGTCGGACCTCTGTTTCTGGGGCCGCTTTCTGAGATTTACGGAAGAGTTATCGTTCTGCAGTTGGCCAACTTGTTCTATCTCGTGTTCAACATCGCATGCGGTGTCTCGCAAACTAAGGGGCAGATGATCGCTTTTCGATTTCTGTCTGGCCTGGGAGGCAGTGCCCCGTTAGCTGTGAGTCCTCTTTGCCAACAGAAATCTTCCAGTAAAGAAACTGACAACCTTTAGGTTGGTGGAGGTGTTCTTTCGGACTGTTTTAAACCAGAAGAGCGCGGGAAAAGTGTTGCAATCTACAGCCTTGCTCCGCTTCTTGGTCCAGCTGTCGGCCCTATAGTCGGTGGCTTCATCTCTCAAGACACCACCTGGCGCTGGGTCTTTTATGCCACCTCCATCGCCGACGGAGTCATCCAATTTGCAGGGTTATTCTTCCTCCGTGAAACATACGCCCCCAAGATTCTGAAACGGAGAGCAGAGCGGATCCGGAAGGAGACGGGTGATTCGACGTACCAGACCGAAACTGAGCGACAGAACAAAACCCTTTCTCAAACAATGCAGACTGCGCTTGTGCGGCCGTTCCGCCTCTTGTCCACCCAGCCTATCGTTCAAGTTCTGGCCCTGTACATGGCCTTCATTTATGGCACGATGTACCTCGTCCTTTCGACCTTCAGCTCTCTGTGGACTGGTGTTTACCACGAATCTACGGGCATTGGTGGTCTGAACTACATCTCCCTAGGCTTGGGATTCTGGTTGGGCTCTCAGATATGCGCTCCACTGAATGACCGCATTTACCGCCGGCTCAAAGCCCGTAACAACAACGTCGGCAGGCCCGAATTTCGAGTACCTCTCCTGATTGTGGGCGCTTTCCTCACCCCGGTTGGTCTCTTTATTTATGGCTGGACCGCTCAGTTTCGCTGCCACTGGATCGCTCCTAACATTGGTGCCTGTCTCTTCGGTGCTGGGAACATCATTGCCTTCCAGTGCATCCAGACCTACATGGTGGATACATACACGAGATTTGCTGCCAGCGCCCTAGCCGCGGTGGCTTTCTTACGTTGCATATGTGGATTTGCCTTTCCGCTATTTGCGCCATACATGTACAACGCTCTACACTACGGATGGGGCAACAGTTTATTGGCCTTTGTGTCTATTGGTCTGGGTATACCGGCACCTATATTCCTCTGGAAGTATGGGGAGATCCTGCGCAAACGCAGCCCATACGCGGCAGGTTAGATATGTGCATTGGTTGGTTGGAAAGTACATAGCCGGTTTGTAAATAGCCTAGCTCAATGTCAAGATTGCGCGTAATGATTCTCTTGGACCTTCGAACGTCGCGTTCTGCCAGCATCTGAGGACATCGTATCCCAGAGTCTGATCTCTGCTGGCACTCAGACGCCGTCTCGAGTGGTGCCGGGCAGACAACTCGGAAAGCTGTTCACAGAGCCAGGCTCTAGTGTCTGGACTAACAGAAGATGACAGAAATCAATTACATTCAGTCACTACTGGCTTCTGAGACTACATCAATCCCGGCGTCTAGTCGGAATTGGCCTAATACCCCGACCTTGGTACTTCGCAGTCATGAACACTGAGAGTCGATGCCTGACATGGCATTTATGGCACGAAGGGGGGTTCAGATCAGAGGCTGATTTGATTGGACGCTTAAAAAGGAGGTCAGGTACAGATCACATGCCACGGAATAACCAAATGTCCGAGGCCAATTGAGTTTCGGCTGAAATTTAGCGTGCAGAACGCGAATCCGCTATTCCTGATATGGTAATAAAATTTCGAATTTTCCATGTGAAAATCAACAGTCGGAGAGGCGTCCAGTCAAATCATGCATTGCAGAAAGAAAGCCACGAGTTCCCATGCAGCGCAGCAGATCAATTGTATAGTGTAATTGCAACAGAAGTAAATCAAAACCATGTTATCGGATCTCAATTCCATACGTATATCATCAAGCTCTTCAAATGCGAAAGGTGTTTTACTCCTATCTCAACGCCTAGCCCCATTTTCCGAACAAAGAATAGCCGTCTCCTTATGTTGAGTTTTCTCAACGGCTGGGCATCAATGGCTCATGGATCTAACACTCCGCTAATAAACGGACCTCAGGCACATGGAAAATGCTGCCGTCCGACTGGCCACATGCTTCAAAATGATCCACTTGAGCCCGTTTGACAGATTCAGGGACCGCTTTTCTGGAAACATTTGGTGGAAAGGAGATTGGCCAATGGATCTGCCTGCGATTTCGGGTGCCAGGAGCTTTTTTAGCTATCGTGCGATAGGGAATGGCTTGCTGGCCTTTTCGGTGATTTTTTTCTTCCTTTTTTTCCACCTTCATTTTTGTCAATCGCTCAGTTTCGATTAAGGGACAGCTGGGAAAATGGCAGACGTTCGCAAAAGAGCTGTACAGACTGAGACAGAGGTATGTTTCTGTGCAATATGAATGAAAAGCATGCTCACATGTCCCTAGGTTGTCCAAGACAACACTCCCAGTCTCCAATCGCTCAAAGATGCCATTCCCAAAGAATGCTTCGAGTCATCGCTGGTCACCTCCCTCCTCTACCTCGCCCGTGATATCCTTTACTGCGCCATCCTGACCTACGGCGCCTTCCACATCCATCTCCTCCCCTCGTTACCGCTCCGCGCCCTCGCCTGGGCCACGTACGGCTTCTTCCAGGGCTGCGTCGGAACAGGGATGTGGATTCTGGCCCACGAATGCGGCCACGGGGCCTTCTCTCGCTACCAGCGCATCAACGACTTCATTGGCTGGGCCACCCACTCCTTCCTGCTCGTCCCTTACTTCTCCTGGAAGATCACCCACGCCCGTCACCACCGGTACACCGGCCACATGGAGAAAGACACCGTCTTCGTGCCGTGGACGGACGAGCAGCTCGCGCAGAAGAAGAATGTGCGCATCGAGCAGCTCAAGCATCTCGCTGAGGAGACCCCTATCGTCTCATTCCTGCAGCTCATCGGCCACCAGCTCGGCGGGTGGCAGCTGTACCTGCTCACCAACGCTACAGCCGGCAAGCAGAGCTGGCCCGAGGGCAAGCCCAAGACCGGCCCGGCGAGCCACTTCAACCCCGTCGGCGCGCTGTGGAGTCCCTCGCAGCGTCTCTCCATCGCCATCTCCGACCTGGGTCTGCTGATCATGGCTTCGGTGCTGTACTATGCCAGCACTCAGATCGGAGGGTGGAACGTCGTTCTGCTGTATTTCGTCCCTTATCTGTGGGTTCACCACTGGCTGAGTATGCCCTCCCTTTCCTTAAATCCAATCCGAGTATCTTTCTGACGTAACCAGTTGCCATCACATACCTCCAACACACCCACCCCTCTGTCCCGCACTACACCCCTGAAGCGTGGACTTACACCAAGGGCGCCCTCGCCACCGTCGACCGCACGATGGGCTTCATCGGCCGCCATTTCTTCCACGAGATCATCGACTACCACGTCGTGCACCACCTCTTCAGCCGGATCCCCTTCTACAAGGCGGAGCAGGCAACCTGGGCCATCCAGCCCCTCCTCGGGGCCCAGTACCACGAGGAGAAGGACCAGAGTTTCCTTGGTTCCTTGGTTACGACGTTCCGGAAGTGCATCTATGTTTCGACCAAGGGTCATGCGTCGCAGCCGGGTGTGCTGCACTTTGTGAAGGCTGATGAAGGGAATTAATTAATGGTGATAAGTGGCGGATTGGATAGACATAGAGTTTTTGAGTGAAAACTGATAGACTAAGTATCATAGAGATACCCTAGTGTTTTTGTTGGATTGTCGTTGTATATAGACAAAACCTTAGAGGTACTAGAACTAGAGCTGAAGAGTGTTGATTCTACTGTCTCCTTATCTTTCTGCTTCGCGTGTTATCCCGACGGAAAGAAGGCTTAGGTACAATTGTATGGCATCTGCGGGATCGACGAAAATAAACATGGACTCAACAGTGTACTATGGACCAAATAATAGGAGCTTAACTAAGCTCTTATTCAGGATCATTAAGACCATAGTCAATAGATCATCATGAGCCAGCAGTGTAACAAAGAAAGTAGCCACAGTGGCACATGCACCGGGGCACTCTACAGCTCCTGAAGCGATCGGTCGAAGTGTGTAGAAGTGGCGGTGATCACTGCAACGCCTCAAACATACTTCCAGGAATAGCTACAGACCCACTGATAGCTCGACATCCGCAACTGAACGCTAGTCTCCAGCACCGCCACACTGGAGTGGTACTGCAGACCTGCGCAACACTACAGCTACAGTCTACATTCCATCCACAGCACGAGTACGGACTCGACAGCATGGGTCACTGACGAGCCTATCTCATCCAGCCCCGCAACGTATGTCAGGTAGGAGACAGCATCGGCAGCCAATGACTGCTGCCCGCAGAATGAAACCTCACCGCTAGCTATGCGCCCCACCCTGTACAGACTCACCTCCCAATAACTGCAGCCACGATCCACCTTTTGTGTCATCTTGCATGCTAGTCCGACTTCAAGCATAGGCCGTGGACCCTGTAGGGCAGCAATGCCTCACCGGACAGGTGGAGGGTGGAGGTCCTGCGGATGTATATATATAGAGTCTTGAGCTCCGCCAGATTTTTATTCCTCTACTCACTGTCAATAAGTTATCGAACATTATCAACAGAAATGTCATTCCACCGATCCTGTGAAGACATCCACATCCGCCAGGAGGACGGCGCCACCATGCTCCTGGCCAGGGTCCGCGATAGTCACGGCCAGCTGATCCCTCGCAAGATCCGTCTCGATGATCATATCGGCAATACAGATGGTATTTCCCTCGTGTCTAGTCACCTGGTGTGATGTTTGCGTTCAGTCAAGGTTGCTAATAATATCAGGATGGTTCATCTGGGGAGGCTGCAACTTCACCCGGACGGCGAGAAATATCTCCCTACAACATACCGAGTTTGGACCTAAACTGTGCGCGGAGCTGGAGATGAATGGTGGTGGGACCAGAGGGCTTCAGGGGATCATGCTTTCGGAGAAGATTGGCAATAATGATGGGCATTTGAAGTTCCTGGTGAGTTTGAGTTCCTCTTGCTGGACTGGTTGGGGTTAGGTGGATGCTAATGTCGGATACAGGGTGCTTGATGGATTGGCATGGATGCAAATGGACATAGTATTAATGAATGGAAATCTGCCATACAAGTATTCTCCTGTGTTTCCATTCGCAGTATGCGTTTGCTTGCGTAGATGAACAACTCGTCTGCAGCAATCCTGAGATCTCAACTGCACTGTAGTGCAGTCTCGGTGCAACATTTCACAGTTACATTCCTCAGCGAGAATATGAGTATGGACTCGAATAGATTGATGATGAATGTAGTGATGCATCCCCATGACTACAGCACAGGATAACCTCACCACCAGGGCCCTGTCCGTCCATAGACTCACCTGTCACCTCCCAAGCGCGGCCGCGATCTATGCGTTGTCAACCATGGAACCCCCGACAGAAATATTGCGTAACAATTTGTTCGACACTATGTCATCTTGCAAGCCAGTACGAAATCATGATAGAGGCAGCAACCCCTCAACGCATAGCTGGCGCGGTATATAACTTGAGCTCCGCTTGTCACTAACCAGCCAAGTGCGCCACACAACACATCCGTATCGATCACACCCGTCGGGAACCAACCGGATCGATACAGCGAGTTAATAAGGCCATGCCAACCATTAAACCCTTTCTCGGTCGCCGTGACGGCATCGAAGATCCCGAGCACTATCTCGAGGATATCGAGTATGCTATTAAAATTGAGAAATCACATGTCGACAGCGATAGCACGGATTGGAACCACGATCGTCGAATTCTATTCCGCCAAAACTTGAGAGGCAGGGCTGAACTATGGTACAGCCAATTGGGTAGAGACCTCAAGAATGACTGGGAAAGATTGAAGCGAGAGTTCACCAAACGCTACCGAATCGATGAAGTCGACGCAGCCACCCGGCGTTTCCAGATCACTCAGAAGGTAGCGACCCTCTCGCAGGGACCCAATGAGCATATACTGGACTACGTGAACAGATGCGAAGACTTGGAATCACAAGCAGGCACCTTGGAATCGTTCGGACTGAACGTGGTCCAGGGCTTAGCTGACCGCGCCCAAAAACAACAAATCATGTACGATCTGTTCAAAGGAAAGGACTACTCATTCGGAGCAGCGAAAGACCTTATCAATGCCGCGTACCTGTCGTTCGGTTCCGGGGCTCTTCACGCAAGTTTCCAATATAGCCACAACAGCAGAAATGGCACTCCACAAAACTTGCGAAGACCTTCAAATTATTCAGAGAATTGGCGCCACTGATCTGGCTGACGCCTGTGATAGCTCCGGACGGCGGGTCCCCAACAAGTTCCGCCTTGATGACCATAGTGGTGAGAAAGATGGTATTTCCGCCTTCCCCATGTCCATGCTCAATCTGGAAATCTTCTAACTGTATCAGGACGGCTCGTGTGGGGAGGACAGAACTTCACCCACTCTGTGGGAGATGTCTCCATAGGCCGACTGAGCATGGGGCCATAATGTGTCCCGACATGAAAAAAGACGGGTGGTCGAGAAATCATCAGGAGCTCAATCTTTCCGAAAGGATTGTCAACTTTGGGCAATTGAAGGTCGTCTGAGTTTGTTGCATTGACGGTGGTGGCATCAAGTAGATACTCATGTCGGAGAATAGCATCCGCTGAATAGGACATGGGGAATGCGAACGGAGTAGTATGTAATGGAATGGATGTCACCACCATAAACCAGAGACTGCCATGTTGACGAACCAGTAGCTTGAATGCTGATAGATACCTGAAATATCCGGCCCTGTGAGGCCAGTGTCAATCTGATCTGTCAGATCATGATGATGTAGCAGCATGAGACCTGCAGCCTGGCTTGCCCAGTCGGCATTGGCCCATCACCTGCTGTGCAACCAGAGGCTTCGAGCTACTTCCAGCCCCCTCATCAACGATATTTCCGCATGGTTCGACGATTCAACTCTTCCATCGAGCATCCATGTCAGAATCACGTGCCTCAATGCCGAACACAACAGTCCTGAAAACCTTGACTGATTCAAAGATTTCAAAATGTGGGACATGGCGTCCAGAGAAGTTTGTCTGGCCAATCATCCTTTCCGTGGGCGTTACGAACCAGCTCCAGGAGCCTACTTGGCTTCTTGGTATCGGCTGTGAAGGCTGCCGTGCTCGGCACACAGGGGTCAAATTCGAAACCAGCAGCCCGCATGGAAGCCGATGGCAGGTGTCATAGTCATCTTGGGTTGACGCACAAGTAGACTTTGCGGACTGGAGTCATTACGACATGGGTGTCTGGGACTATATTAAATCCCTCGCTTGGGTTCAAAAGATTATCTATCAGAGGACAGGCCATGGCACTTGTCGGGGTCGTTCTTTTCTCACTATTGATGACAAGACCAGGGTCGGCAAGCTAACGGTGATTTAACGGGCGAGTCGACCGCACACTGGCCGACCCGAGAGATTGGACTTTTCACCTTGCAGCCTTGGAGCGGGCTAAGGATTATGCGGATAGCGGAGTTGGCGGGAACAAGCCAACAGGCAGAGTTTAACCATTGATTATTAGCCAAGCAACTAGGGCATTGATCGTATGATTGGAGGACTGGAGAAGAGTTGCCGGCGCAATTGCCATTTTGTTGGTAATGCTTTCGTAATAAAATAATATATCCAACTCTAGCGACAAAAAGGCATCCAGAGCCGTAGTTCAAGGGGCGTCGCTTAATCTTCGGCAGCCTTCTGCGAGATTGCGTCCATAGTTCTCTTCCCCACATACAATATTGTGGGAGTTCCACGCTATTATTCCCCGTACTTGAATCGTTAGCGAACTCGTCCGATGAGAAATCCGAGTGCCGGGATGCGTGCAGTTGCTAACTCGAAATTCTCACCGGGAGCAGGTGAACCTGGGGAGGCTGTCTGGGGATCCCCGCACGGAGAGACAATGGACTCGGACGCGAGAAAAAAGTGGGAAGTGGAACTGGACAGGAAATGATGATGAATCGAGTGGAAGTGAGAACCGAAAGACCAAGAGTCCCAACCAAGCTTCTTGGAGCGAGGAAATTGGCGCATTTTTCGAGACAGCAACAGAACGAGTGGAAGAGCTTCGTTTGTTCCTGTCGGTCATACCATGGTTTGCACGTGGTAACAAACTCTGTTTTACCCGTGTGTATCACCCTCATTACACTACCCCCTCCAGTCATTTCTACCTAAGATTTACTTCTGATGAGGGGGTGCTATCGTCTATTCTGTCTTCCTGCTTATTGCCTAATGTATACCCTGGATTCTCTCATCTGATGCTGAGTGCTGAGTCAAATGTTCGACTTCAATGTAAAATCACCAATTTCCCTATCTAGCTAGGGGAGTTATTAGGTTTCAGACTTGATGAAACATTGTTACAACGTTACAGGGCCATGGCCCACCAACAGTCTTGGCATGCCAGCCTGTCAACCTGCACTACACCAATCAGCAGCCACTTTCATTGTTGCTGCTCACACTCTGCTCACAGTCAGCCTCCTCGCTTCGACTGTCAAGTCCGTAATGCCGGTGGCAATGCTCCAAAACCAAAAGTAAATATAGCGGGATTGGTTCTCGGCCGCGAATCACGGGTCGGCATCAAGTGATCATAGACTCGCAGACTCGGCCAGATCCGAAAGATAATTTATCCTCGGCTCGCTTCACCCAGTGAGACACTTGCATAATAATAATAAATTAATCATGCCTGAGGAAACAAATAGGCAATTGGAGTGCGGCCCGCTCTTCCATGAACAGATTGATGTCCGGCAATACGCCCGCGTGCAACGGTAATTTACAGTTGGTGGCGCTCGACGTGTCTGTGTCCTGCGTGTTGTAACTTGTAAAGCAGTCTATGTGGCTAATGAGATTAAGGAGAGCCTGCTTCCAAGGTTACATTGTGAGGAGTTAGGCTTTGCCGACCCAGGAATGACCTTGACAGTTGGCGCGGGTGACATGGTCGTCTGTCTTTCAAACCGACTACCTTACTGATTGGGAGCCAAGTAGACCTTTAAATCTAACATGATATAAATGATCAATCATCGCAACAATATCCGACTCCTTATATTTCCATAGAGGACATAGAGGCAATCGAAACAGTCATGGAATCCTTCGTACAGAGTAAGGTCCCTGGTAGAAGCCGAAGGGCATTGGTCCGTATGATACTGTATGGTATTGACTAGCAAACTTTGACAGTTCTGGTCTCTCTCGGACCATGTGGAGCTGCTACCCCACTTTCATGCACGTGGTAGGCTGGTTTTTCCGGCCCCTGCCAGAACAGCCAATGAGAGTACATCACGCGGAAATTAGGCCTGAGAAGGAACCGTCGCCGGGGTTAGTGTCTGTGAAAGCGCGTACCCAGCTACCTTACTGGCTACATGTTCGAGACTGTGCCAGAACTAGTCAGCCCGACAACACGGCCGGCCGAGACCCGAGCATTTGTTTGGCCAGAACGTCCGGGGTTGACCGCGCCACAAATCCATTACCAATGAGAAATCCCACAATAGAGGTCTAAGCAAGATACTTGACCCAGGATGGTTAGTTTCTACGAGCACAGGCCGGATTTTGCTGGTCAGCTCGAGGATTCGATCCGGGGTTTTGCCCCTGTGAATGTCTGTACGGTACCAGGTCCATGCGCCACTCGGTGGTTTCCAATTCCAGAGTTGTACAGCGTCGCAATGCGAGGTCCACCATTTCCCTCAGGTTACCAGATCCCGCGATCTCAGAAAGACTGGCAGCTGCAATGATTGGCCCATCATCCTTTTCTGACTCAGGTTTTGCTCGCTCTTAGTGCATCCCAATCCAGTATGGCGGTCTTTTTTGTTTTCTCCATGTCTCCAGCTTTGTCCCCAAATCCCCAGATGAGACAAGACTAAGCGATCCATAGGGTGATGGCAACTAGAACCGCATGAAAAAAAAAAAAAAAATGCGCGAAAGCCAAAAAAACACGCTAGAGCCGATGGCGACCTGCGTCCCCCGTGGTCAATTCCCCGGACCGGCATGGGGCCGACTGACTGAGGGAAAGAGAAAAGTCAGAGAAGGAGCGAGCGCGGCATCTCCAGATTTCTCCTCTTCCAGGTCCAGGTCTATAAAATCAGCCGTTCGTCCCCCCAAGGTTGTCCGACCTTCTTCTTGTCACGTAGATCTTCTCCCTTTTTCCTCGTCTTCCCTCCATCCTTCTCCTTTTGAGCCTCGTGGTGATCAACATCCCTATCCACTCTCATATCTAACCTTTCACTTCTTTAACCTCGGGGTTGATCACTGCCATCTATCGCCATGGCCGACGTTGTCGTCGATACCTCGCGCGTCGAGGCGCCTGTGACATGGAAGACCTACCTGATGTGTGCCTTCGCGGCCTTCGGTGGTATCTTCTTCGGTTATGACTCTGGTTACATTTCCGGTGTTATGGCCATGGATTATTTCATCACTGAGTTCGAGGGTCTCGTTAGTAACCCCCCCGCTTCGCAAAGCTATAGCCAAGGACATTGTCGCTGACTAGTGAAATTTCTTCTCTACAGGACAAGGCCACCACTCCTACCGACCTTTTCGTCATTCCTTCCTGGAAGAAGTCTCTGATTACTTCCATTCTCTCTGCTGGTACTTTCTTCGGTGCTCTGATTGCTGGTGATTTGTCCGATTGGTTTGGTCGTCGTACTACCATTGTCGCCGGTTGCGGTATCTTCATTGTCGGTGTCGTTCTTCAGACTGCTTCCGCCACCACTGCTCTGCTCGTGGTTGGTCGTCTGATTGCCGGTTTTGGTGTCGGTTTCGTTTCCGCCATCATTATCCTGTACATGTCCGAGATTGCGCCCCGCAAGGTTCGCGGTGCCATCGTCTCGGGTTACCAGTTCTGCATCACCATTGGTCTGATGCTGGCTTCCTGCGTCGACTATGCCACCCAGAACCGCACCGACTCTGGCTCCTACCGCATCCCCATCGGTATCCAGGTCGCCTGGGCTCTTATCCTTKGTACTGGTCTGCTTTTGCTGCCCGAGTCTCCTCGTTACTTCGTCAAGAAGGGCGATCTTACCAAGGCCGCCGAGTCTCTTGCCCGTGTCCGTGGCCAGGCCCGTGATTCCGAGCTCATCCGCTCCGAATTGGCTGAGATTGTCGCCAACCACGAGTACGAGATGCAGGCCATTCCCCAGAGCGGCTACTTTGGCAGCTGGTTCAACTGCTTCCGTGGAAGCCTCTGGAACCCCAACAGCAACCTCCGTCGTACTATCCTGGGTACTTCTCTGCAGATGATGCAACAGTACGTTTCCCTTCTTGCTCTCGTCGCTCACTGACCTTGCGATGCTAACGACCGCTACAGGTGGACTGGTGTCAACTTCGTCTTCTACTTCGGTACCACCTTCTTCAAGAGCTTGGGAACCATCAACGACCCCTTCCTGATCAGCATGATCACCACCATCGTCAATGTCTGCTCCACTCCCATCTCCTTCTACACCATGGAAAAGCTCGGCCGTCGTACTCTGCTCCTCTGGGGTGCGCTGGGCATGGTTATCTGCCAGTTCATCGTCGCTATTGTCGGAACTGCTGACGGCGGCAACAAGAGTGCCGTCAGCGCTGAAATCTCCTTCATCTGCATTTACATCTTCTTCTTCGCCAGCACCTGGGGTCCCGGTGCCTGGGTCGTCATCGGCGAGATCTTCCCTCTGCCCATCCGTTCCCGTGGTGTTGCTCTGTCCACCGCCTCCAACTGGCTCTGGAACTGCGTAAGTTTTACTGTTCGACACAGATGCAAAGAATACCGTGCTGACTCACCCTCCAATAGATCATCGCTGTCATCACCCCTTACATGGTCGACACCGACAGGGGTAACCTCAAGGCCAAGGTCTTCTTCATCTGGGGATCTCTCTGCGCCTGTGCCTTTGTCTACACCTACTTCCTCGTCCCCGAGACCAAGGGTCTCACCCTCGAGCAGGTTGACAAGATGATGGAGGAGTCCACTCCCCGTACCTCTGCCAAGTGGAAGCCCCACGGCACCTTTGCCGCTGAGATGGGTCTCACTGAGAAGGATATGGCTGAGAAGACTGGTGAGGTTGTCCACCAGGAGGTCTAAAGGACCTTGGCGATGCCACTGCTTCGTCTCTGCGGGCGTCTGAGACTTTCTTGTGATTTTCTTCTTACTTACCCACGTCACGTATACCCACGGTTACGCTTCATGTTACAATAATGCTCAATGTCTACAGAGGAATGAGACTCTAATATCTCTTTTAATGGTGGTATCTTAGGCAAATATTAGAAAAAAAAAAAGAAAAAAGAAAACAAATGGGAAACCATTGAATCAATTCGACTCTTACATTTATGTCTTTTGCTTCCATTTACATTGAAGAGATCGTTGGAAAAGTCCATCATGACGTCCGAAAATTCCTATCCTTTGCTGATAATCAATAGGAAGTGCTGCTGGCGGGTCCCTTTGCTACAAGCTCTGTACTACAACGACCCAGTACCTGCTATGGTTATTGCACCTCTGACATTGCTGGAGTGTCCACTCAGAACTTCCGTGTGTACATCTGAAGGCCTATTTATCATGAGAACTTCTCTGCAACTCACCGGGAATTGAGAAAACTCACCACAGGAATGCAGACGACACTGTGATAGGATGGGATCATGCTACCCATGTACTTGTGGGTTTGACTGACGGATGCTAATCAGTGAACCATATTGGTCGGCTTGAGGCTCTAACTTCACCAGAGCTAATACATGCGTATCCCCTTGAGATTGGCATGTCAACACGACTTTGCAAGAGAAAGCAGAGCAAACAAAAATGCATGAAAGCAATTCGGAGAGCGAAGGCTGTAAGATGGTGAATCTATATATATATAAGAATGGGGCTATGCTCAATCGGGTAGCAATCGAGACACCCCGCGGCCTCCCCTTCGATGCCTCTTCCCTCCACCATCTATTTAGCATTTTCATGAGTTAGGCCATCACCAGGATCTGAAACCATATTGGAATACAGACAATGAAATGTCGATGTTGGCAAGGAGATTGATTGATGATTATTATCGTCTTGCCGTTTCAGGGATTAGAAACCCCTAACCAGATCCTGTGGCGAAGCTCGATTGACTCGTCATCCCACTGAACCGCGATTTCAGTCATATCAACAGCTGTGATCCCGCGTCCCTCAGAAATCTCAAACTCGGAGGTGATCCGCCTGCGAGCTTGCCAAGAAAAGGATGCGTGTCTGTCTCCAACAAGCTTGTGCTTTGGTGCAAAATATGGTAATGATCTGCGCTTAGACGCATACTCGCCCAGAAAGCCAAGCGACGGACTTCCGTGAATCAAACGGGGGTTGTTTGATTGCTTGAAACTCAACGGCTGCCGAGATGGAAGGCTCACGAATTACGCAGCATCTTGATGTCCGGATCAGTGGTTTACAGATTCCCAAAAAATCTGCAAGCCTGGATACAGTCAAGGTTTGCGACACGCAATTGGAGTTGAGGAGCTGGGATCTCCGGACTTCCGCAACTCAACCGGCGCTTGGCTTGCTGGCCAAGACTTCTAATTGCTTCAGCGTGCAGACGTTAGAATTGGCTTGCTTCTCCGTACTACTGAAGAAGCGGGGCCACGTCGTCAGCCAGCGATGATCTCTTGTTCTGGCCTTGATTTCGGATCATCCGTTCTGGATAGGGTAAGGAACTTTGTGATGCCCAGGGAGTCCTGCAAGAGGCAGTATACATAATCGGGACTGGTGCGGGAAGCCACCCCCGTAGAGGGTCCATAGTCCCTCTTCTGCCCTGTCGCTGAGCAATGTGTCTTATCTGATTCGACGGAGTTGATCAACTCCGTCTACAAGGTTGCGTCAGCATCAACACCAATGCAATATCGACTTGCGTACAAGGTACACGCCTCATGTTGACGGCTAGAAAGATGGCGACGGTTGAGTTGTGCGTAGAAACTTCAAGGATGGAAAGGTATAAAGCTGGCACCTGCGCCGGTTGACGATGTGCTTCTATCGTCACCATAGCTCTCTTTTCGCATCGCTTTCACTGCCTCTACAATGGTCCAACTCGCTTCTACCCTTGTCGCTGCCGTGGCCGGCCTCGCCAGCGTCTCCTTGGCACATCCCGGCCATAATGTCAAAGCCGAGGCTGCAGAGCGTGCAGCTTTCCTGAAGCGTTCCAATATCGCTCGTGGTTGGGGAGGATGCGCCGCGAATCTCAAGGCCCGCGGCCTTGAGGGTCGAAGCATTGCTCGCCGTAAGCATGCAGTCGAGATGCTTCGCCGCAGCAAGGGCTTGGAGACTCGTATGCAATCTTCTTAACCTTCTGACGTGAGGTCGCCATTGACTCAATATTTTCTAGGTGCTCCTTTCCTCAAGGCTCGCGACCTTACTGCTCTCAACACTTCCCACGAATCGTCTTTGGATGTCAACCTGTCCACCGACCCGTCGGTGCTATTCTCCTCCAACGCAACTTGTGTCCTGGCATCTGATGTTACTCAGGGACCTTACTGTATTTTATCTTTGCTATGGCAGATCATTGGCGATCAACTGACAACCTGCAGATGTAAGCGGCGAATTGATCCGTAAAGACATCACCGAGAGCCAGGCGGGAGTCCCTCTCTACGTGGACGTCCAGATGGTTGACAGCTCCACCTGTGAGCCTGTCACCGGTGTCTATCTGGACTTCTGGCACTGCAATGCTACTGTAAGTCTCCCTCGAAATAGACTCAAATGGATACAACTAATAAGCTAGGGTGTCTACTCCGGCGTCGTTGCCAATGGAAACGGCAACTCTAACGACGACAGCAACCTCGATGCTACCTTCCTCCGTGGTCTCCAAAAGACTGACGCTGAGGGTGTCGCTCAGTTCCAGACCATCTTCCCAGGCCACTACACCGGACGCACCACCCACATTCACGGTAAGCTCATTCTCTCCTAATATTATGATGCTAGGCTAACCTGTTCATGTCTAGTCCTGACCCACTCTCTCAACGAAACCACCGTCAACGCCAACAACACCCTCAAAGCCCTCTATACCGCGCACTCCGCTCACGTCGGCCAGATCTTCTTCGACCAGGACCTCATCTCCACCGTCGAAGAGACCTCGCCTTACTCTACCAACACCCAGGATCTCACCACCAATGACGAGGACAGCATCCTCGCCGAGGAGGCTGACACCATCGATCCCTTCGTCGAATATGTTTTCCTGGGTGACTCTGTCTCCGATGGTATCTTCGCTTGGATCTCCCTTGCCATGGACTCGTCCGAGAGCAGCTCTGTGACTCCTGCAGCTTACTATACTGAGGATGGTGGTGTTGAGAACGAGAGCTCCGGTGGCGGCGCTGGTGGTCCCGGTGGCTCCGGCTCCGGTGGCCCTGGCGGCGCTCCTCCTAGCTAGACGGTGAGCTAGACTTTGGTTTAGGCTCCTCTTGTCGAGCGACTTGTTATTGTGCTTTTAGCAAAATGTATTATCATTTTATGTGCATGGGGGAGGAAAGTCAAGGACAGATAGTTATGCCATCACTCGTTAGGCGTAACCAAGCAGGTATATCGAATTGTATTTGTTACATTCTGCATTTACTCTTGAGCATTATTAACTCACCTGGAGGACTAGTCTTATGGATGATGTACTGTAGGTCCCTCTTTGCATTCACTCTCTCAGTCTCACAGCTGATGTGCTGAGCATTTCAACATGATATTCGCTAGTAGTAGCTTGATCATACTGCTGCCTAACCCCTTCCACCCTACCTGCTACTCTCTTCCATCTCTTCGCTTCGTCCCAGCCACTCTCTGGTAGACATGCATTTCATCACGTGCAGACAGCACCCCGCATCTGACAAGGCTCTCAACTAGGTCGATGGCTCTGCTTCAAAACGATTCATAGCGCATTTCCCGGGATACCATGGCACTCAGAAACGAGCCGCTGGTTTATCTATATCGTCAGTACAAGGAGTCTACGAAGTATGCCCTCGGTTGGCTTTACGCGGTCTCCCAGCTTGCTCCTGCCAACCCACTCCCCCGGTCCGATCTCCTGGAGGCAGCAAACAGAATAGCCCTCCGGAAAATCGAGGTTCCAGTGTCAGTCATATCACATCTGAAGAGTGCTGTCACAGGGCGACGAATGGTCCTGCAGATATACCGAAGTCTGAGCGAATCATCTGATGGAAACATAGACGAGGATAATATCAAACATGAAACTTTCATCAATAGGTACCATGCAGAATTGGAAGGATGGATAGTCTTCTAAATCTGATTAGATTGGAAGAAGTTTTACGGATACTGCTGCCGTTAAAGGCGTCATCATCTCTGCAATCGACGGAAAAATCCGACTCGAGCCCTATTTCGAATCGCTTCACGGCACTGCAGGTTTCTGACGACTCCAACGCTGTTGAGCCAAATTTTGAAGAAGAAAATGTTCAAAATGTGCCACATGATGCTGTGCATGATTCACCAGCTGCAATTCAGTCATCGCAGTTACCAGAAGACCTTATTCTGGAGGATGATGATATAGGAGAGTGGATCGAGCTGAGCTATTTCCTATGTGTAAGATCCCTAACCCCTCGTGTTTTAGAGAAGCTTATTTCAAGACAGGAAATGGACGCCATATCCGAACAGGTCAATGAATGTTGGAGACAGGCAGCCGGGAAACAGCTGCCGGTTCCACTAGCTGCCTGGCTGTCGACAACAGCTTTGCATGCAGCGGGCAGAATTTTTGCTCGCATAAGCCACATTGCCCCAACTTTTGATGTTCTTGTTGACAAATGGTCCAAACACGCGAAGAAGGGAGTCAAAATTCGCTTCAAAGATATACCCCAGCTAGCTTCCTCGTTCGGTGGCCGTTGTGCTGATGTGTTTACACTCCGGAAAATACGCCTGCTGCTTCACCACTGTCGAACTCTGGAGGAATATAAGAAGATACTTCCCAATGCCGGAGCCAGGGCAAACCCTGCTGATATAATAAAACCACACATTCCTCGCGGACCTAATGATATAACCTGGGTCCATGACAATCTAGCCCTTGATAGTATGCAGGAAAGCATGCGTCAGTTGCTGGTCTCTGACCGTGCCATAGCAGCTATTGAAGCCTCTGAAAAAGACGTACATATCTCAGAGCCTTTGTTATCATCTCTGCGTCTGTTTCTCAGAGATGAGAGCTTGCCTATTCCGTTTCAACTCGTGTATGGCATGGAGATGTTGTTATCGACTTACAAGTCATTCCTTTGGCCCCAGGGAAAGAAGACTACGCAAAATCGCCGCATTTTAGCTTTGCAATTCGCCAAAGAAGTGCAAGGGAGTATCTTGGACGCAGTATCCGCGCTTACGGGAGTCCAAAGTACCGAAGACGATGCTGCCACAATTCGGCACAGGCTTCTCCTTCAAGTTCAAGCTGATGATCTAGATACATTTGTTCGTGAACAGGGCTTCGATCTCTATTATCAATCTCCTTGGGTGGCAGGATGCCACATGGTTGAAATACTGGACTCCGCCTTTTTCGACGGAGTTTCGCTTTGCTGTGATCTTGGATATGTCTGTGCAGTGCTGCACCTATACAATGCCTTGCGGCTCTTGGATCCGCCGATCCACAAGATCACTCTGCTAGAGCAACTGTGCCAGTTGTTCCTCCAACCGCTGTTCCTGGGGACACTTCCCAAGGAGAATTTCTGTTCCCATTTCCGCAGAGCAAGGGGGCAGGGTCGCGATCGAGAGAAGACCGCAAGTTCAGACAGACGTTCGGGCCTATCGATGCCGTATACAATGTCGAAGCGCAAGGTCGATGGAAATAGGTTGTCTCTGTTTCACGCCCTCAACTGCGTCAACTATCAACCCACAATTGAATTCTGGACCAGAGTCTATATCGACCCAGCATTGAGAAAGCCAAGTCGCACCCAGGCTGCCCGTGTTACGCGGGAGATTCATTCAGTGCCATTCAGTGAGCCCCTGGGACGGATTAAGACCGCCGTTATGAAGGAATTCACCGGTGAACTTCCCATTATGCGCACCAACCTGTTTGCAGTATTCTGCTTCTGTTCTCGGCTGCTTCTTGAGGTAAGTAAGATTGCAAACGGTGATTCGGGCTTAGATTGTCAGGGACGACCCAGTGCACGTTTGGGATTCTCCGTCGTGGATCTGCTCTTGAGTGAGATCGTCGATCACCTCAGGGATGGTGGCAAGAGACATCTCCTAATGTACTCGAGGCCACTTAATATGGCCCAACAGAGCCCTACTTTACATTCATAATACCTGCCCCCTTCCTCTTCCACAACTAAGACTAAGTGAGTGGTTCTTGGATTGTGTGTAATAACAAGCTAATCTATAAGAAGTGAATGGTAATGCTGAATTGTCTAATGATGAAGAGCTTGACAAACCTCTGCCTAAAGCATCAGGAAGCTTGCTCAAGACCTCAGGATTTTCTGACTAGCAAAACATTGCTGAGCGACTGCTAAATGAAGGTTGTCTTAAAAAGGAATCTTCAGTAATTGAGGAAGTCGGCGATCAGAGAGATGAACTTGAGAGGGTTAATGTTGACGGCAACATGCAAATAACTGATATAGATGATTTCAGGAAGATACAGTGCTATGAATGGCGCCCCGCTAAGGGCGATGAGACTTGGATTCGACTGGACGACCCCCGTGTACTTGCTAGGTATGCACTTGAAGCAGAACATCTCACGCTTAAGATCCCTCCGGCCACCTGCACATTGTATGACGCAGGGAAGCGTTTACCCAAACGAATCTTACGACTATCACAGGTCACATGGTATCGCATCATCAGTTTCCGAGGGTTAGCAGCATCCGTCTGTGCTAATAGCAGCCTTATCCATCACCACCAAATCAGCGTAGATAAATTCTGCGATCTCATGTTTCGCGAGGTGGCTACGGGTTATGGAGACTCCAACGGCGCGAGAACTTCAGAACTCAGGCATGCCGTGGACCTCCATATTCGCTGTAAAAGTCGCACCAAGGGTGGCAACCCGTTCGCATCAGGATGGGCGCCTTTCCACATTACCTGGTTTAGTCTCGTTCCCGATGGTCAGCAGGGGTCCTTCGGTAGTGCTTGGAGATCCGGTCCACTGTACGGCTGGAGCTCCAGAATAGGCCCCGGACGATACCATTTGCAAGAAATGGCCTTTACGATGGGGTACTGGCCGAACAACGTTAATGAAATCGCGGGTTTGAAGAACAGGAGGAAACCTTTGGAATCTATTGAACCAGCACACTGGCACTGGACGATTTTACACTTAGCCCCCTCGCACTTCTCCCAGGTTTCTGAGACATCACCGCGCTATGTGTTTGAGAACGATGGTCATATAATTCCCATTGGGCTTATTTTTGAGGCTTTAATGGAGGCTGCTAGCTCATGGGATGGGGTTGCAGACCACCTGGCCACTCTAATTACCAAGGGAGACGCATTATTTGATCCGAACCAGCACGATGGTCTTTTGTTCGACGATAGCACATTTTCACGCTGTTCATACCATCCGTGGCAGCTAACATACGAGAATGGGACGATTTTTGGAAAGCCCAGGAGCCGCTACTCACAGCAGGAGCTCGTTTTATCAGCGAGTTTCGAGAAGACGTAGTACAGTATGGGGATAAAATTCACCAACATGTCCTTACTCCTAGTGTGGGACATCCTCTAGCGCAGGTCCAGGAGCAGATCAGCCGGCTGAGGAGCATCCAGGCTCGACTCGAGAGCCTGCGAGATCAACTCAGGACGCTCAGAGATGGCGTGAGTCCCGCCTGGCGATCCAGTCACAGTCCAGTCGCTAACATAGGGATTGCTACAGTTATTCAACGCCAGCGCGGTCATCGAATCCAGAGCTGCTACTGAGTTGGGCGAAAATGTCAAACTTCTCACTTACGTTAGCATAGTCTATCTGCCGCTTAGCTTCTGTGCGGCGCTATGGAGTATAGACTTTAGCTACCACCTGGTCGTCTTCACCCTCGTCACAGTGCTTCTCTCAACTGCGACCTACCTCATCGTGATGAATGTTAACAATGTCGCCCGCCTGAGCAAAGGAGTGTATCGAAGGTTTCGCGCTCGGATCGTGCAATCCATGGCGAATGATCCGAACTGGGTTGCCGTAGGGGAGGCCTTCAGCCAGTTCCGACCGGAGCGTGAGAATGTGACTCCATCGGAGTGGAAAATCGTGGTCTTTATGGTATCACGGCTGTGGCAATGGGTGAGGAGTCCTCGGTTACGGACTCATACTAAGGGGGTATCCAAACCAGCAAACGTGTAAAGCGTCCCTTGCTAGGAGTAAGCTATCCGCTGTGGGGTCAGGGCGCCATAGACTGTCGCAGAGTAGTTTGTGGGATAGGGAAAGGATACGACTGCTTATGCTCTTCCAACCGGGGCGTCCAAAGAAATGCCTTGAGGAGCCTTTTGACCCGTTGGAGTCGTTGACTAAGACACTGGGTAGGACTGAAGTGGAGATTCCAGTGTAGATCAAGAGTGGGAAGAAAGACTGGCGCTGCTCTTTTTGAAGAGCTCGTAAATATGTTTCTTCTGAGATTCTTTTCCATGCCACGATTATGATTCTGGTGGGCCTGGACGGCTGTCATAATGAGCCAGAGGTGGGATCGAAAATCCGAGTTCCAGTGGTAGGATAGCCTGATTTGTACATAGGAACCTGTCAGACGACTATCAAGCACTTCGTGTCTTTCTCATCGCCATTGCACCCCTAAAGTCTCTGCGAAAACTCCTCGGCTCATCCAAAACCCAGCTTAAGGCCTCCCAGCAATACTCTGTATATGCTCCAAATCCTCCACATACATACTTCTCTCCGCACAATTCTCACATCCATCATCCACCTGACAACCCTCCTCAGCAGCCAACTCCACTGCCTGTGCTGCATACCGCATAGCTTCTTGTACGAGTGTCTCACTCGAACCGGCTTCATCCCCAGACCCAAGCTCAGCCACCTCATCAGACTCGTCATCATACCGCGACTCATCACACAAAGGAAGTAGCAGTCTTGCCGCCCCATGCAAAGCTCTCGCCTTGACCAAACTCGGTATATCCGTCGCAGCCACACATCTCTGCGCTGCCTCACGGACCGACCGAAGCCCGAGCTTGAGACAGTTCGTGGTCTCGACCTCATGCCAGAGCTCACATGCAAAGAAGCCAACCATGCGCAGGCGATCGACAGCCTCTTCCTCCTCGTTGTCGGGCGTCAATCTCGCAGCATCCTTCATCGCTTCGATCGCGCTCTTCGCCTCGCTAGTTCGCTCGTTTGACTCGTACCGGGTCCAGTACATCATGGCGAGTTGATTATAAAGGCGCGCTAATTCCGATGGATCCCTCCCGTCGCCGAACTGCGCAATTTGGTGCCGTTGCGCTACAATCTCGGCATTCGTCGGCCGGCCGCGAATATCGTACCCTGTCCTATCATTCCTGGAGAGCCAGTGGAAACAGGTTTGCGAGAATTCCTCCCGTTGTGCACGGGCCGGGTGGTCCTTGGGAGTCAGATGTAGACATCCTCGGAGATGACCAGAGACTTCAGCCCCGTGGTCCTGCGAATTCGTCTTCTTCACTAGAGAAAAGAACAGCTGCGCCAGGTTGAAATGGAGGCGCGCTCTATCGGGTGCCGTGACCAGGACCGCGTATAGCCGCTCTGCTATTTCGATTGCATGCTCAAGATCCTCCTCCTCCTCGTTTAAGAGGTATCTGTTTCGGTAGAGCGAGGTGAGTAACTCCATAGCGTCCGTCCATATTCTGAATGCTGGGCTTGACCGGTCGCTATCGCTAGCCTCCACGGCGTCCTGTGCCCAGGCTATTGCGGAGTCGATAGCAGCTTCGTTCTTTGTGAGTGTGTATTTCTCATCGTACAGCACTGCGCCAAGAACCTGGCATTCAGCAATATTCTTCTCGTCGCCCAGAGACCGATACGTCTTCAGTGCACTCTTCAGCGCCACAAGGGACGCGTCGAAATCGGCGTCTAGGTGATTCACCATGTATCGCAGTTTCAGACATTGCGAGTACGCCCGGAGCGCCTTTCCGCGTGTGCTGCCCGAGAGATTTTGCTCTCGGTCCTGATCTTCGCGGACGCTCTCTGCCAATGCATCGATCGCGACGTTGAGATCTGCCGCCTCCCCATATCGAGAATATCGCGAAGCATATTTGTCTCCAAATTGAAACAGGTATTTTCGGCGCAGGGCATCGTCGGTGGGGTATATCTCTAGCAGCCGGGTTGCGCAGTAAATAGCGTGGTCGAGGTAGATCTTTTCGCCTGATTTCTGGAATTTCCTGCGGTAAATTTGACCCAGTGTGTAGAGTTTGCTATGCTCGTCTAGGAGGGTCTGTTGCTCTGCAGTTGTAAGGGAGGTTGGGGGGAGGAGGGCGCCGTCGGGGGAGGTGATGAGGGAGCGGGGGATTGTGGTTGGAGTGGGGTTTGTCATATTGGAAGTTGTGGGTTCGAGGATTTACGAGGTCGACAAAATTACGGCGACGTTAAGTACTTGTACATAGGATAGAACTGCCAGTTGGTCTTTTTAGCTAGCCAATGAGTTGATGTCTCCTTCGACCTCCGGAATATTTGCAACAAAGCGGAGGAATTCAGCAGGCAAAACGAAGAAGAAACAATTCGACTTGGGGCCTTGAAGACGCTTGATCGGGAAAGAATCGGATCCAGGAATCTGGTTCCAAAAGATCGTCTAGATTGTTTGTCCAAAGCAATGGCTTAGGAGCATCTTGGCCCACCGGAATTGTCCACTCGGTCGGAAAGTGTGGGATGGAGGAGATTTGGCCCCTGTAGCCCCTCTTTTCGAAGAGCTCGTGAATAAGCTTTCCACACCACGCTGGTTGGTGCATGATTCTATCCGCCATCGCAGGATGTCTATTATTATGTCTGGACAAAGGAGTCAAGTCTCGTTAACAGACTGGTATTATTAGGATTTAGCGTATCATGGGATTAGGGTCTGAAAGAGCGTCTCAATCTTCCCGGCATGGAAGACTGTTGCATATGGTAGAGTGGATGTATGTACCATGAATGACGGCTGCTTGGACGCGGCTGCTAGGCTGGCAAAGTGACGGCTTTCAGTGGATGAGATACACTGTAATGAGGATTTGGCGACGAGTCGAGGCAACTGCGAGTCTTCTGCGAATATCTCGTTCTTCCCTGAGGCAGGGCTGACACCTCAGGCAGCACACAGCATGGGATCACGTGGACGTCAGGCACCAGCCAACCATTGAGACTTGCATTTGCCCTAAAGCCTTTAGATCTAACGGGAGATAATCAAAGTGGACTACGGTGGATAACCATGGAGAACCTTGAGTGAGCATCGTATTAACTGAGTCTGTCCTTGATAAGGGCCTTGGTGTCGTAACACTTATCTAAGCCTAGCTAGCTAAGATATTCTTCTTTAAGTTTAATAGAGAGCCCTAGAAAATTGATAGGTTATACTGCCGCTATAAGTCTATTCTCTACTATAAATTTAATACCCCTAGTATTATCTATTAGATAGAGCTAAATTATTCCTGCCCTTGCTTTTAGCTATAGTAGGGCTGTGACCTAGGTGCTATAGATAAGTATAATAGATACTTTATATATAGCTATTACTAAAAGCACATTGCATTCAGCATAGCTAGTATCTATAAGATAATCTAATTAGGCCTTAGTAGCATGATGGGCTTCTGCACTATTAGCAGTTTTCTAGCCTCTATTAAGGAGCTTATAGAGACACAGCAGATCAACTTTCTATTTAGCTAGTCAGATTATTATATTAATCAGTGGCCACCATTGCAATAGTGTTATTGCCTGTCACAGAAGCACCCATATCTACCTGAAATACAACAGATGCCTAAATGGCGACAGCTTGGATGCGGCCGTATATGATGATGATGGCTGTCAAAGAGGGAGGCAACTAAGGAACAAGCAGTTTCCTACAGGGGTAGAGCGAAGGATGTCTAGCATGAGTGGCAGAGTGTAGCATGTCTAGCATGAGTGGTAGAGGATAAGAATAAAAATAGGGGAGGAAAGTTTTGCAGCATGCACAGGCGCAAAGAAATGGATAGTGGGGTACTAGAGATATTTAGTTAGGAAGAGCCTATAACACAAACAGAGAACCTAGCAGTTAGAAGATGGCTGTGTGGTTTGAAACCATTAGACTTATAGACAGGATCAGCCTACTCCGTAGTGCAGTGCTAGAACTGAGTCTGGCAGGTAGCACCCATACCCCTCACCTGCTTGAACTCTAGGCAATGCCAGGAGGAATGTAGGCCTTTAATAATATAGAACAGTATCCAGTCCCTGCTGTGCACCCCTAACACTAGATGATGACAGAGAGGGGCTGGACAAAGAATTCTCTGAACTAACCTAGAATGAGAGAGAAGTAGGGTTGCAGCAGAGTATCCAAAGGACCTGCTCTATAAGTAGCTATTTCCCCCAGACTAGGATTACTATCTTATTCTACAGTTTCCAGTTACTTATAATTTTGTATTTCTTTAGCATGAATATCACTGCCACCTAATTTGTGTGATCCAGAGAGTTGGGACAGAATCTTCAGAGACAGGCACTAAGCAACTTCGGGACTGGTTTAAATGATGATGGGCCAGGCTGTGGTTCCAAGGTATGATATTCTACTACTGCATGTCCTTTCCGTCGTCACCCAGACTTACTCTGTAGGATGGCCTTTCTGCGCACAGCCTGACTAATAGTGGTCTGTGGAAAGCTGGCCGGCTGTGATTCCATAAGCCCTAATCGGATAGGGACCAGTACTTGGTAAAATTTGTTCAGCCTCTGCATGTCAATATGTGAGTGATATAAACTAATGTATGATTGGTCATTTAGAATGTTGGCACACCTACCAGGTCCCTGGACTTCACGTTTATTAGTGCTGACTATATCAGCCAGGGACCACCAAATATCAATTTGATCTGTCTGCTGTACTTCGTTATAAGTGAAAGAAAAAGGGTGGTACTTGGAAAGCTAATGTTCAAGCTGGAATTCTCTTCTTCCTACACAGTCCTGAAAGGAGGTAGAGTGATAGTATCTAAGACGTAGGTAGAGGCGTAGCGTTCTCTTGAAGCTCAATTGACTGAAGGGACTGTATGTGGAGATACTGTATACACTTGTGCACACGCACACTTATCAATATCACCAGCGAGACCTGAGAACTGTATAGGGCAGGCGCCAAGCAGCACCGCGCCTCATCCCACAACATCTCCACAAGGATTTAAGACACAATACTCTCTTTTAGAGCACGGCTCTTCGACCATTCTGACGCCCCTAAGTTTGGCAACCCGACATCATGTTGCGAACCAAACTCTTCGGATTCTCTAGTTATCAGATCCATCCCATGGACAAGAGACCTCATGGAAGCGGACATCAACAGTATCCTCGTTATTCCGATTCACGAGGTAGTCGTTCTCAATCGTCAAGCCTCTATAATTTGGAAGCCCGTTAGGAGGCTCCACCTTAGCAATTCCCAATGTAACGGGGTACCCAGATCCCATCATGTGTGACTCCTCAGATGCGTGGTCGTCATCGCGGCGACCCTTGAAGCGGAGGTAATAGTAGTAACTGTAAAATCCAGGATACGTGTTGCCGCCGAGGTTGGTTGCAATCCAGCTTCCGCCGTTGGTCACGGAGCTTCCTTTCGGATCCCACAGGTAGAATTCCCCGTCGTCCGGCACCGACAATTTTCCTCCAGCTTTGTAGGGAAAGCCTCTGGAATACCACACCTGGAAGATTCGCTTGGAGTTTCCGAATCTGTAGTAGCTGTATGCACCGCCGTCCGAGCCCAGACGGTCACCATGTCGGTTCTCGATGTAGTAACACCTGCCATATTGCAGGCCCAGTGAGCCTGACAGGGACCTATCTTCCTCGGTAGGCTGGGTCACGTCAGAGATCAGGTCATTGAGATTTGGCCAGTGTGTAACAGGGTTGACAGGCTCGCGGAGGTTGATTTGGTCAACCGGAGGGCGATACGGACTGGCATAGGCTTGGCCAGCCAAGTTCGAAGCCACGAGAGTATTTAACAAGAGGTAGATATATGCGTGCATTTTGATAATCAACAGATATGCCAACTAACAGTCTGTATTCAATTCAATTGATTGCAGGTGAGCGGAATGGAAACCCCAGGGTAAGAATTTGGACAATGGCCGGAGAGAACGGAGAGACTAAATAATGCTAACTATAATCTAGAGGTCATGCAGGCTGCTGAAAACGACAATGGCCATATTTCCAGCCATGGTACTTGTTCATGTTGTTGTACGGACAGTTATTAATAACTGTTGAGTCGACGACATCATGTCTTTTTCGATAGGGCTCGACACCTTCCGCCTTTAGTTTAACGCGATCTAGACTGCTGTTTGCGGATGATTTCTCGGTTGAATAATGCTAAACACCAATATGATATATTCCTGGCGTGTATGACATGCGTGGATAAATATGAACTGCAAAGAATATGCAATCATCGTTAATAACTCCTTTTGCTTCATAGACATTTCAGTTTCATCTGCCTCCACATTTAACGTGCTAATCGGATTGATCTGCAGTGAGCAAGTCATCGTAAACAGCGCCTGCTCTGTCTGGCCTTGTATACACAAGTATTGCCCGGTCCATGGTCGAGAATACGAAGCTGATGCAGCTCCTGGTTCGTTTGTATCTAGGCTGCCTGGGGAAGTCAGAGGACTACGGGGCTATTCTACTGTTATATTATCATTACCGAATCTAGTATGGCCTTTCTGCGCACGGCCTGACTGACTCTGGTCTCTGGAAGGGTTCCCGGAATCCCGGCTGGGATTGCATAAGCCCTAATCAGATAGGTCCAGTACTTGGTAAAGTTCCTTCAGCATCTGCATGTCAGGATGTGGCACACATACCGGGCCCCTAGGACTCCACGTTTATTAGCGCTGACTATATCACTCTGGAATGACCAATGGCCATGACACTGGGCAAACCTAAACTCGAAAGCTATGCACTTCTATTGGATGATTGATTAGAGCAAGCAGGCAGACGTCTTAGCATGTAATAGCCTGTAAGCACTCGGGGCCCGCGGCGTCCGATCCTAACGTGAGTGGAGAATATTAAAAACACGACTTAGGCAGCCACTCTATCTAGATTTCTGCACCCATCATGTCGGACATAGAGAAGAATCAAGAGCTGAAGCCAGATGGGGGCGAAGACGAGCCAAAACCCTCTGGCTTCAAGAGCTACATGCGCATATTCAAATATGCCGACAGAACTAGCTGGATTCTGTACTCGCTCGCCATTGCCGCCGCCATCGCAGCTGGTGCGGCCCTTCCGTTGATGGACCTGATCTTTGGCAAGTTCGTGACGACGTTTAACAACTTTGCTCTGGGCGTGGTTGGGCCGGATGATTATATGAGGGAGGTGTCGAAATATGCGTCAGTCAAATGCACATCCAAGCGTGGACAATGTGGTTAACATGACCAGCCTTTACTTGGTATATCTATTCATCGCCAAATCCGTACTTGTCTACATCCACACAGTGGCCGCATCGATCGCGGCCATTCGGACAACGAAAGCACTGCGACTGGACTTTCTTAAAAGTCTCTTCCGCCAGGACATGGCGTACTTTGATTCGAAAGGCGCCGGGTCGCCGTCAGTCAAAGTCACCACGAACGGCAATCTAGTCACCAGTGGCATTTCGGAGAAGCTGTCCGTCTTTGTGCAAAGCTGCGCGACGTTTGTAGCGGCTTTTGTGGTCGCCTTTGCGGTACAGTGGAAGCTCACGCTCATCACCATCTGCATCGTACCGACCATCGTCATCGTCACTGGAGTCTGCATGGGCATCGAAGTAAAGAATGAGGACAAGCTGATGGGCATCTATTCGCGCGCCAGCCTGGTCGCCGAAGAGGTCTTCTCCAGTATCTCAACGGTTCATGCGTTCTGGCTGCAACCGGTGATGGCGAAGCGCTACGAGGACTTCCTGGCCGAAATGGAGCGCGTAGGTATGAAGAAATCGCCGAATTATGGTGTGCTGTTCTCGGTCGAGTTCTTCTGCGTCTACGCGGGATACGGTCTTGCGTTCTGGCAGGGCATCCGGATGTTTGCTCGTGGCGAGGTCCACGCGCCGGGGGATATCGTAACGTGCGTTTGCCCCCTGGCTAAATGGCCTTTACTGATTCTTTTGGCAGCGTCATTTTCGCGGTAGTCGTTGCCGCCACAGCTCTGACCCAAATCGCGCCTCAAATCATAACCATCACCAAAGCCGCTGCTGCTGCGGACGAGCTCTTCCGCGTCGTCGACAAGAAATCTGCTATCGACTCCCTCTCAACCGCAGGGTTGACGCCTGAGAAATGTGCTGGCGAGATCGAGGTAAAAGCTCTCGAGTTCGCATACCCCTCTCGTCCGGATACACAAGTCCTCAACGGCCTGAACCTAAGCGTTCCTGCCGGTAAGACGACCGCCCTGGTTGGCGCCAGTGGTTCAGGGAAGAGCACCATCGTCGGGCTTCTCGAGCGCTGGTACGACCCAGCAGCCGGGACGATCCTACTCGACGGCAACGACATCCAGACACTCAACGTTGCCTGGCTACGCACGCAGATTCGCCTCGTGCAGCAGGAGCCGGTTCTTTTTAGCGGGACGATCTTCGACAATGTCGCTTTCGGCTTGGTAGGGACGCCGTACGCAGAGGCCCCGTACGAGGAGAAGCTTGCGCTTGTCAAAGAAGCTTGTCGAGACGCCTACGCGCATGAGTTCATTGAGAACTTGCCCAGGCAGTATGATACCCAGATTGGAGAGCGTGCGCGAATGTTGTCGGGAGGGCAGAAGCAACGGATTGCCATCGCTCGCAGTATCATTTCTCGGCCGTCGGTGCTGCTTCTGGATGAAGCGACGAGCGCTCTAGACCCCAAGGCCGAGAAGATTGTCCAGAGCGCACTGGATAATATCTCTGTCGGCCGGACGACCATCACCATTGCGCACAAATTGTCTACGGTGCAAAAGGCGGATAACATCGCTGTCATGTCTGCGGGTCAAATCATCGAGCAGGGGACGCACCAGGAGCTTATTGCCAGAGACGGTGCTTATGCGAGGCTAGTCCGGGCACAGGATCTGGAGAAGGCAGGGGGCAAGGCTCAAGAGCATGCTGACTCGGAAGAGGAGGAAATTACTGAGGAGAACGATGATGCAAAGTCTGCCGCGAAGCTGTCGCTGCATCACACAAGGAGTGTGGGTGCTGAATCTCTCTCTCCGGAGGAGAAGGCGAAAGCAGTAGCCAAGGAGACTATGGGATACAGTCTCATTCGGTCTCTGTGGCTTTTGATAAGGGAGCAGCGGCAGCTGTGGGGACTGTACGCGATTGTAGCGGTTATGTGTATTCTTGCAGGTCAGTCTTGCCCAAAAGCTCTCCTGTATCCTCTCTAACTMGTTACAGGTGGTACTTTCCCAGCACAAGCCGTCCTTCTCGCGCGGACATTCCAAGTCTTTCAGCTGCGCGGTAGTGAGGCTGTTCGTCGGGGAGATTTCTGGGCGCTGATGTTCTTCGTTGTCGCCCTTGCCAACTTCTTCCTCTACTTCACCATGGGATGGACAGTCAACATCATCATTCAGGTGAGTATCTCTTGCCGATCTTTTCCGCGTGTCGTTCAATCCTGATCATGATATGGCACAGAAAGTCAGCCGAAGGTACCGACGCGAACTCTTCAGAAACACCATGAAGCAAGAGATCTCGTTCTTCGACTTGGAACACAACGCTACCGGGGCGATCTCGTCTCGGCTGTTGACCCACGCGTCGAACCTGAACGAGCTTTTGGGGATCAACTTCGGTCTGATTCTCATCAACATTGTCACGGTCATCTCCGTCTCTGTCTTGGGCATCGCGTATGGCTGGAAGCTCGGCCTCGTCTGCGTCTTTGGCGCTCTCCCTCCGTTGCTGCTTAGTGGCTATTTCCGCATCCGCCTGGAGTACAAGCTGGAAGACGATACCTCGGCGCGCTTCGCCAGCAGTGCCGCGATTGCGGCAGAATCAATCTCGGCCATTCGCACGGTGGCATCTCTTACGCTCGAGAACAAGATGCTTCAGATCTACGGGGAAAGGTTAACCATTGTCGCAGAACAATCTGTTAAAGCACTGACCTTTACAATGTTCTGGTACGCCCTGACGCAATCCATCAACTTCTTGGCCATGGCCCTAGGCTTCTGGTACGGAGGGAAGCTCATCTCGACGGGCGAATACACCAACGAGCAGTTCTTCGTGGTCTTCACTGCGGTCGTGGTCGGAGGCGAGAACGCAGCTGCTATCTTCCAGTACACGACTAGCATCACCAAAGCGACAGGATCAGCGAACTACATCTTCTGGCTGCGCCAGCGCGTTCCTGTTATCGACAATGACTTTTCTGATGAGCCTCCTTCGGGAGGATTCTCACAAGACCCTGGACCCGTTACTGTCGATTGCCACGCTCTCGACTTTGCCTACCCTTCTCGCCCACGCTCCAACGTCATCTCCGGAATCGACGTTACCATCCCACCGGGCAAATTCGTCGCCTTTGTCGGTCCATCCGGCTGCGGCAAGTCCACGATGATCAATCTGCTCTCCCGCTTTTACGACCCAACATCCGGCTACATCGCCGTGAACGATCAGCCAATCCACGACATCAGCCCACAGGATCACCGCCGCCGCCTGGCTCTCGTTCAGCAAGAGCCAGTCCTGTACCAAGGCACCATCCGCGAGAACGTCGCCATGGGTCTGATCGAATCGAAGGAAGCGACCGAAGCACAAATCGAACAAGCCTGCAAAGACGCCAACATCTTTGATTTCGTAGTCTCGTTGCCGGAAGGCTTAAGCAGCGAGGTTGGCGTCCGCGGTGCGAAGCTGTCAGGTGGGCAGCGCCAGCGTGTCGCTATTGCTCGCGCGCTGATCCGCGATCCGAAGATCCTGCTCCTGGATGAAGCGACCAGTGCGCTGGACACGGAGAGCGAGAGGGTTGTGCAGGCGGCGCTGAGCGAGGCTGCTAAAGATGGGAAGAGGAGTACCATTGCGGTTGCGCATCGGCTTAGTACGATCAAGGACGCGGACTGTATCTTTGTCTTTCAGGCGGGGAGGATTGTGGAGGCGGGCAGTCATGCTGAGTTGCTGGAGAAAAGAGGCAGTTATTACGAGATGTGCAAGGGCCAGGCCTTGGATAAGGCTCTAGGTTGATGCAAATTATGTACATTATGCTTCTCTACTCTTATAGATAAACGAATTGCACTCCGCACTCGATATTTCACTAAGAGGGGTTTGTACTACCGTATGAGCATACACGAGTATCTATGTCCTTGACCTTAACCAGGAATAAGGCACACCCTTGTCCCATTCCGGGAACACAACGACAAAGCCAGCGATTCCTCCCACGGACCCGGATCCCGACTCTCCAGGACACGGAACTCCTGCACCATCCGGACAAGAACGTAGCTAACTTCAGTCAACGCATATCGCTGCCCGATGCAGATGCGCGGACCGCCATTAAAAGGCAGATACCCCCATCGCGGTTGCAGCTTTCCGTCCTCCCAACGCTCAGGACGGAATTCCTCTGCGTCTGGCCCGTAGAAGTCAGGCCGCCGATGCATTGCGTAAACGTTGTAGGACACGATGGTCCCTTTGGGCACGAAGACCGGGGAGAGACCATCACTGCCTCCTCCGAGTGGTAGGACGGTGTCCCGTACCGCTTGGCGTTCATTGCGCGGGACAACGGGGTGTAAACGTAGCGCTGGAAAGTTAGCAAGGGAATAAGGTACAAGAAAGATTCACTTACATTCATTTATACAGCACTGGACATATCTCAGGCCGCGGAGCTCCTCATAGGTTGGTGCCCGACCCTGCAAACCAGCCACTTCTCTACGCAACTTATCCCAAATCGCCGGGTCCTTAGCCAGCATGAAGAACAGATTACCAAGTAGACTAGCAGTTGTATCACGACCAGCCAACAACACATTCATCAGCTCGTCCAGAACGCGACGCCTATCAGATGTCCGCCACGCCAATTCATGCGAGAAAATACGCTTCTGGCGCTTTGTCTCTGCTTGTTCTTCTCCTGCTTTATAGTCCCTCCTGACCTCGACTGCCTGGAAGGCCTCGTCAACGAACCGCTGGACGAACTCCCTGCAGACGCGATTACATTCGTCGGCATTTCGATCGCGGTAGAATACGGCCAGTGGCCCAAGCGTGCCTCGCGTGATGATAGCCTTCTGGGCATAATGAAATGCCTGCGCGAACCCAAGCTCAGACTGAGACTTCTTCAAAGCGCCGACTGACTGTCCGAACAGGAACTCCGTCGCGGAATCGATCGTGTACCGGAAAAACAGCTCCTGCAGGTCGACGACTGTCTTCCCATCCCGAGGGAGCAACGCGAACAGATCCTGAATCAGACTCTCCAACGACGTCAAGTCGGCTACTTGGTCGCGGGTAAAGCTGGGCCGGATCAGGGCGCGCGATGCAGCCCAGTGCTCGCCGTCGGTGTCGAAGATGCCCTCGCCTAGTAGTGGTTTGAAGGCTCCAAGCCGGTGGCTGATGCCGTAATCGTTGAATTTCAGCGATAGGATCGTCTTGATATTTTCAGGCTCTATGGTTAGGATGGCGTGTCTCTGCAACTCAGTCAGTGTAAAGGTGTTGCCGTAGATGCGGAAGAGCTCGGCACCCCTTTCGAGGATTTTGTGCTGTCTCAGCGCGCGGATGGTCCCAGGGAGCGTGTCGAGGCCTAAGAAAGGATCTTTATTGAACGATCTTGCTACTGCCTGGCAACCGTGCTTGCGTGCGTACTGGCGCTGGACGAGGAAACGCCTGATGGACACGCATGCGACAGTGACCAGCACAGCGACTAATACCAAGACAAGCTTTGGATGAAGATTTAAATACATTTCCAACGTTATTGTATAGACAGCAACCAAAGGAAAGAGTGAGATGCAATGAGACGAAGCTTCATCAGACAGAGAGTGTCAGCGATGGATGCCTGGTTAGTTATATGAGATGATAATATAATGACTAAGCGTGGTTGGACCCCGCGCAGCAACCCTGTATGTTGCAACCGATGTGCCCAGTCCCATTAGAACATGGTCATGTTGAAACAGTCCACCTTGAGAGTACCTGCATGTGACCGTGCGGTTCCTGTTGCAACAGGTCGGGGTTAGGGATAACACACTTCGTCGGTATACTGGTAAGGACTCCGGAATCAACATTCCTTGATTGCTTCCTCTAGAGTGGTATCTGAGTTACGATCTATCCGTTGTCCACTGTATCGCTTAGGATACGGATGACCACTTTATATCACGGTGAAAACAGACCCAACGATACGTATATCAATGGAGACGAGACGGCGCTTATGTCTCCGAGGACTTTCTGGCCAAAACCTCTGGCAGCCAAGGAGTGTCCATTAACCCTAATGAATAGGCGCCTGATACTAAATTGCCCGGCCGTGGGTACTTGCGGCAAATGTCCACGGTCATTGGAATCTTAATACATTGATCCATCCAGCCCAGTCCACTTCTAGCAGAGTCGGCTTTGATATATACACCACCCAGCCAATGCGTTAACCCTACAATTCCCACGTCGTCTTCACCTCCTCAATGTCCCTTATCACACCTCCCCAACCAAAAGCCGCCCATCTCTCCGGCATTTTTAATGCTTCCACAAAATGCCTCATCGCCAGCACAAACTGCGCCGCCCACTTTTCCGCACTCACTCCTCCGGTCCCCGTCGCCAGTGGGGTAATCAAAACCGACTCAATCCGCTCTTCTATCTTGCAGCCTCGGTTCCACCCCTCAACCTGACACAACAAACTCCACACACACTCATACACAACCTCCCGGTCCCAGTTGACCCGATCCGGGAACCGCATCGACGGACAAATCGCCACCCAGCGACAGCCCCACTCATTTTCCCCGATCAGTTCATCCGGAAAGGGGACAAGTGTACACGTCCCTGGAGGCGCGAAACCCCTCCACTGCTCGTAGAGGACTGTCTGCGCTGCCTGGGTGAGAGCGTCGTATGGGTGCTTTGGGGGGCGGCAGAAGGCGCGGGATATGGCGTCGTCGAAGGCGCCGTCGAGTCGGCCATAGGAGTTTGCTGGTGAGACAATGAGGTCGAACTTTGTGCTGGGAGGGACTTGACGGAGGGAGGTGTTGAGGATGTCGACGGTGGGTTTTGGGGTGGTGCTGGTTTCGGGCCAGCGTTGTGCTAGAGCATGTTGGAAGGCGCCAATGAAGCGATCTTCCATGCAGAGGATATTGATATGGGGGATGTTTGTGAGGACCATTTTGTGTTGTTCTTGTTCGATGTCTTGTTTGGATGTTGATTTGATAACTTGATGTGGGATATTGAGCAGATATATTCCACAAGGAATGTGGCTTAGACTGCTGCCTGTCAGCTTTCAACTTCTAATAGTGTGACTGTGGGGCTGTGTATCTAACCTTCCGATATATCAATTTGAGTCTAATCTTCCTTCCTGCCAAGTGGATGCTTGGCCTAAGATCTTCTGAACAGATTCCCAAAGGAGAGAATAGTAATCATCTGTTAATGAGATGGAGTGATTGTGGCCTCTCCTCTGATTGGCCAGGAGGTGCAATAAGCTTAAGTCTCGGAGTTGTGAATGACCGACGCCGAGAGCCAAGAAGTGGCACAACTTTGACCGACCTTCTCGCTACATGTAACTAATATTATGCATCTCTGGTGAACAGACGATACAATGGATCATATCCGTCGGTACAATGTCGAGCGATCTTGTCTCCGGTGCCACCAGCGCAAAGTTCGCTGCGACAAGGGTTCCCCCTGTGCCGCCTGTGTCCGGATGAAAGTTCCCTGCCAGTATCCAGGCCCTAATCGAGTGCAACGGCGTCCGCCAAAAGCTACTTCTGCAGATGTAGTCAGCCGTATAGATCAGTTGGAGAGAGCTGTAACTGAAATGACCCGGCGTTCTTCCAGTGTCAGTTCAATACCCGGCGATGATACGAATGTGACACGAAGCACTGCCCCTGAGCGTCAGCTTCGACAGGGCCTTCTGGCGCGAGACGGTCGGTATATCGACGAGCATCTCCTATCTGGGTTCCTTGAAAAAGACAAAGATCTACAAACTGCTATTGGCACGCCCCGGTCTGCTGGAAAGGGCCCTGGACGACAGTCACCTCTGAGGGTCGAGGGGCTCATTACCAACTCACTGCGAGAGCACATAGATTTCCAAGCCCTGCGGCCCAGTCGATGGCAGGCCTGTCAGCTCTGGCAGATTTTTCTTGGTCGCGTCGATCCAGTGGTAAAGGTTCTTCATATCCCGTCGACGCAGCCACGGGTCTTTGCGGCCATCAACCAGCCTCAGAATGTGTCTGCGGATACCCAGGCGCTTCTGTTCGCCATTTGCTTTGCAGCAACGACCGCTTTACTCTCCGATGACCCCATCCGGGAGGAAGTCCGCTCGGATATACGCCGGTTTCAGCAGGGGTTCGAGCTTGCCCTATATCGTTCCTCGTTCCTGGACTCACCGACTCTGACATCGCTGCAAGCAATGGCCATCTACCAGGTATGCACATTAATCTTGTTCTAAAAGCCTATAACTTATGAGTAGACGAGTCTCCGATTCCACAATAGCGGCCGGTCCAACTGGACGCTCCATGGCCTCACCACCCGTGCCGCCCAATCCATCGGTCTCCATCGCGACGGACGGCACTTCAACCTCTCGCCGCTGGAATGCGAACTCCGCCGCCGGCTTTGGTGGCACATCGTGACGTGCGACCAACGCGCCGCGGAGGATCACGGTCTCTCCATTATCGCATACAACGAAACCAGCGACACGAATCTGCCCTCCAACCTCGATGACCAGGATCTCTCCGCAACGGCAACCGTGCCACCGGCGCCTCAACCGCGCTGGACGGAGATGACCTTTCCGCTGATCACGATCCAAATCAACCGCCATTTGCATGAGATCTCACGAAAGACGTCGCAGGGTGTTTCGCCAGATCCTCTAGTAAGGGAACTCAAGGACTACATTCAGCGTCATTACCTGCAACACGGGGACGCCAACATTCCCATCCACCAGCATGGCCTGCTACTCGCAGACGTCCTCCTCATGAAAGTCGCAGTCTACACGAGGCAGAAAGCGCTACATGTCCAGAACCAGGGCCAGTGCCCGTGCCCACAGCATGAAAGTTTGACTGCGCAAGAGACGCTGGCGATGGCTTGCCATGGCTTGGAGTGCACACTGGAATTGCAGACGAACGAGCTGCTCCGTGGCTTTCGCTGGCTTACCACCTCATACACACAGTATCACCTTCTGTGTTATGTCCTGTGGCATCTGTGCGTGTATCCGGCGAGCATGCATGTTGAGCGGGCCTGGCGCAACATCGAAGCGACCTTTGAGGCGGTGGAAAGGGACCCGGCGTGGCCAGACCCGGGGCCCAAATGGGCGGTTATGTCGCATCTAAGGGCTAAGGCGATGAGAGCGAGGGATGGATTGATGAATAGGCAGGTCGATGTCCAGGAAAACGGACCAGAGAATGACTTGGACTGGGCGAATTGGAATCTGGAGTTGTTCGGGTTCGGGGAGTGGACTGTTTGATCATTGAGACATCTACGCGTCCAAAGATATATGACAGATACAAAGAATCTAGATGAGCTAAAATTCGGCTTCACCACCCGCCCCGTCTGGACCACCCTCGCCGCCATCACAAACCACGTCCCAACCAGCAACATCACCCCTGAGAAGACCTTCATCCCCGTATACGAGCCGCCATCACGCTGCAGAATGCCACCCGCAATGGGAATCGTGAGCAGCCCACCAACAGACGCGAACAGAAACATCAATCCCGTCCGATACCCGATCTCCTCCAGCGGGGAAACACCCACCACCAGCGCCAGCGCTAGACTGACATATGCCCCTAACGCGCGAACCTAAACACAACTGCAAAGCCAATGATTGCCACATGCCCCGCTGCCGGAATCCACAGCCCCAGCACCACCACCCCAGCCACGAAAGGAGTCACGAAATGTGGATCAGAGTGGAGTCAGGCACCTGTAGAATCATAAGCACACCTATCGCATGAGATTACAGGTGATTTTAATATGCACAGCAGTACAATCCCGCCGCCTCAAGCAGCTCTTGTCACTTTGATCTCTCAATGTTAAGGAAGGTGTGAAGATTGGTTTTGCGCTGAGGTTCGTTAGCGACATATATATTGTTACTCAAAATCTCTTGAAGTCTGTACTCAATCAAATAGGCTCTTTCACGCTGATAGCTAAACAATCCGTGAGTTCAGGAAAGCTTCTTTCATGGGTCAGAGTATCCCATACCCAGTCGAATATGGCATACGAACTAATAAAAAACCGTATTTGACTGGGGCTTAGAACGGCTTCAAATAAGGATCAGGTATAGCCCCCCCCGTCCATCTTTGGCTTCGAGTTTACCGTTGATACAGCGAATAATGTTGAACTCTTCTAGCTCTATAGTCCGTACGCCATCAGACCACATTGCACCGCCTTTCCTACTCCGTCTTAGACAGAAAACCCACTGTGGCTGCTCGATTTCGTACAATTCCTGTTCCACCTGTACAAGGCCTAGAGACAGCGACGGCTCCTGCCACTCGTTAACAAATGACTTCATTATACTTGCCCGCGGTGACGAAATCGAACGTGTAGTAGACCGCGAAGCAACGACACCAAATGATCCAAATCAAAAGACTCATCCTTTTCCACGTCCCAAGTCATTCCTTCGCCGACGTTTCCACTTGCATCGCTAAAAGTACATATGTTGCTGACAACGCCGCTAACGTCTGGAACACGGTGCAGGGAAGTGATAAGAGACATCTTTTTTGAGGCAAGTTTGATGCCTTCTGTGGACTCTATTGTGTCAAAGGCTACGGTGCTATTAAATCGGGAGAGCTGGAATGATAGTGCGAAGCGGGGTATTGTGGCCCAACAAAAAATTGGGCTCCAAACATACTATGTACTATTTTAACTGGGACCTACCTTTCTATATGCAGCATAGCCGAGGGCAAAAAGTGACGGCGGGTTATAGCTGTTGCGGGACTTGCTTCCACTTAGAATGAAACGTCTGTACGGAGAGGGCCCCTGAACTGCAATATCCGATCCCACTCCTATTGAGGGCAACCACGTAAGGTTTGGGAGGGTTGGGATAATCACTGATAAAATTGGCCACGCCATTTTCGACGTAGCCAATTTTATCAGTGATTGGTCTTCCATCCCACTTGTATTCGGAGATTGATCAGCCCCTGCAGGCAATCCCATTCCTCCACAGCGACATCTAGCCTTGATGTAACTAGTCCTCTGTAAGTTGGGTACCATCGAAGTTTCCTTCCTTCCAGAAGATTTCGGGACACTTCTTGACACACCGCTTTTAACCGCCACCGTTTGATGAGCTTGGCGCTGATTTTTTGTTTTATTTCCGTTCGGCTGGAGCTGGCAGCCGTGCACAAAGCTGATGTAGACCTCCGGTATGTCCATAATATGCAGACATGACCGGGTCTGTACGGTTCATATCGCTTGTATATCTCTTTCAAGACCTCAGAACTCGACCGATATAGCGAATTCAATTGGAGAACTTAAGAGAGCAACTATTCAAATTTCTATTACAATAACTGGCAAATATACCACCTCACCACCATGCCCATGTTGCACCAATGCCAGTCAAACCGTACTCTGTCGCAGATATCCAAGTCCTCTCTCCACAACGCTCACATGCATATCCAAAAGATTTGTTTTACCAGCAATAGCGCCTGCCCACCCATGCCGCTCAGTCGAGGATGAACAGCATCCGCTTTGTAAGCTGCTCAACATCCGTTATCAACGATTGGACACTGACGGAGCAGAAGTGAATGATGTTTTCTTCTTTGTCATCAACAATCACTTTTGTTTCCTTGACTGATGGAAATTGTTCTGCAAAGTCAGCCATCAGGGAAGTTGCCTACACATGCCAAGGTCAACGTTGGTTTTCCGGTCCATATTATAAGCCTGTATGCTTACCATCTTGATACCCTTCAACACCATACAATATCGCAGGAGGTCTTTGTGCGACTCCTTGATATTGCCGGCGATCTCGAAGAGCTTCAATAAGAGAGCTCCCAGCGTGCAAACGCTTGCAGCTAGCCCAACCGGGTCAGCCATGGTGTAAGAGTGTTGCAAGGGAATATTGAGAAAGGATAACTCGGATAGCAAACACTTTGGAAGACCAATTCCTAGCTTTTCATATATTTTGTTACAAGTCCATGGACTCCGAAGAGTGCCTTTTCAGCCTATTATGGAACCTTGAGGAGGGCAGTAAAGTTGTGGACATTGTGGCGAAGACTCTTGTGAATGCGGAAAACGCAGCCAAACATCCGATCACTTCCATGCTTACATCTCATGGCACCAAGGCTTCACTACTTAGCCATCTTTGCCTTGGCGACGACTGCGTTGCTCGCCAAACAAATGCTCCGCCCCTTCTGAAGAGAGATCATAATACTGTAGTACGATCCTTGGGACCGAATCGGAGATATGAGGAGTTGGGGCTTGGACCACGACGGCGCTTAATTCAGTGATGCAGTGCAGTCGGGAGGAACTCATAACCGCCTGCATATAACTCATAGATTTTTTGAAACAAAAGAAAGAAATACTCGACGAGTTGCCTAGTTGAATACTCTCATGGTCTACTACTGCATCTCTGGACTACTAGTACTAGCCGAGATCAACGTCAACAAAACAAGCCTTGCGAAAGCAGATGTAGCTACACAGCCCACTTGAACCCTTTGGGAGGCTGGGGCTGTCATCTGGACCCCAGGACATAGCACAAGGTGAGTTTCGTCCCTATTGATCGTTTAGTGCAGCTGGTGGGGTCTCGAGCGATTTGCAGTCTATGCGGCTCGCCTAAAGCGGTATGTTCTATCTGTATGGGAATCCGCTGGAGTTCTTTTTGGCAACCAGCCGAGCTCTTTATTTAGATGACTGTCCTAACTTGTAGTATCTGAATGCTCTAGCAGAAAAGGGCTCCTTGATAAGAACAAGAAGCAGTAGAAATAAGATCACCTATAGCTGAAGGCACCCACCCATCTCAGGGCCTACGCCAGGTGTACCTATAAACTGCCATGCAGATCGCTCGTCCGCACTTTATACGACGTCTATATCACACGACCTTACTCCAACCGCGTCTCGCTCCCCCTTAGTCAATGGCGGAGCGCCAAGGTCGTGGTGTTGCGGAAGCCAGCGAAGTTGGACTACTCAACTGCCGGATCTACTAAACAGGGATGTTTGACTCATCGAGGGTTTTCTTTTTCTTTTTTTCTCTGTTTTAGTTACACGAGGCGAAAATTGATTTCAAATCAATAGCGCTAACCTGGGCGCTCTGGCGGGGCTGTGGGCAGCGATCAGTTGTTGAATGCCGCTGGTAAATGCACAATCAATCAGGAAAATTATTCGGGCTCCTTCTTTATATAAAAGTACCGGTTGAATAGCGCCCGAGGCAAAGCCTCTCACGCCTAGCCAGCGGATCCTCCTGTGCCACGAGACTTGTTTGCATTCCTACCTTTTTCCCAAAGACCCTCACCATACCCTATCTTGATGTTTTTCATGTGCCTAAGCGTTCTACTTGGATCACTGAATCTGACAAAAGCCTTCTGCAAAAAGCCACAATGTCAACGAAATACCACCGTCTGTTGCCAGCCGCGCGAGCTAACCTGAAGAAGCGGGAAGGCCACAGGGCCACGGTTAGCCTACAGAGATGCCAGGGCATCGCCATCCATGAATCCATCAGCCCACCAACGGATGCAAACAGAAACAACAACCCGTCCGATACCTGATCTTGTCCAGTGGGGAAATACCCACCACCAGCGCCAGCGCAAGTCTGACATACGCGCCCGACATAAACCCAAACACAACCACAAACACAATGGTCGCTGCATTCCCCGCCGCCAGAATCCACAACCCCAGCACCACTACCCCAACGAAGAAACCCCACAGACAAAGATATTATACGCCCCGACCCGATCGGAGCACACCCCTGCCGACAGGCGCCCAAATAGAATTCCCGCATTAAGTATCGGAACGAGATACTGCACCAGCGCAGCACTCATCTCGTATCCAACACCTGCACAACAATATAATTGATGGGGATAAACACCGCAAACGTCAAACACATAAGCCCCTGCACAAGAAGCGCCATCTTCGCCTCTCCAAACGGTCTCACCAAACTCTCCCGACTCATCCGCTTACCGGTCCTCATCCAACGCGCGCGGACCGTCAAGTTCGCAACACAATAACGCGAGTATCACCGGCGCAACGACCCGCATCGTCCACGCGTACCCCACGCTCCCACCAACCGACTCACATAATCGGGAAGACCACACCCGCGAGACTTGACCCCGTCGAGACGATCCCGTACGCCGCGCCGGCGGCTGAAACAGCCGGGGATACAACCCATCGCGCTGGAAGATAGCCGCGACGCCAATGGCCCTGCAGACACCTTGGGAGAGGAGAAGCTGGTAGTATTTTGTGGGCAGCGAGGCCATCATCCGGCCGAAGACGTGGTGGAATGAGCCTATGATGATGTGTTGGGGCCGGAGATATCATATAATTTCCTGACAATGCGGCCCTTCTCATGTTAGTGCACTGTCGTAATTGGTAGTGGGCGGGGGCATACCGTGGCGAACGTGAAGAAGGCTTGTAGCGAGGAGATTCAGAGTATCGTGCTGGGGGAGTATTCTGGTAGAAGAGTAGTTTCATAGTAGCTTTGGAATGTCCCTACATCTGTGTCGTTACCGTTATGATCTGCTGTAGGGCCGGGGTGAGATTAGCATACTGCTAATCTAGCTGAATCTACAGAAAAGGATGCACCATTCGCCGAGCACTACCAGCCATGCGGCGATGCCTCCATCTGGGGAAGGATCATAGTTATTCCAAGCTGGTAGTTCTTCGATATCCGGATTAGCTGTAACATCATTAGGCGATTTCGTTGGATTTATGGAAATTTCTGTCTTGTGGATTTGGTAGAGCTTCGATCCGTTCGTTCTGAAGACGCCATCTTAATCAATGTAGATCTTTTGTTTTTGGAATTGTCAACTGGCAAGGATATAGCAGGTACTGGAAGGCTTCTGCTTGGTATAGACCATCGCTCGGCGCGGTGGTTGCTGAACAGCCGAATTATCGGGTTCGGCGCTCATCCTTGGGGTTGGGAGGTGGACCATGCCAGAAATGACTGCGCTATATAGTAATAAACTCACCTTCCACTGTACGAGGATTTTGATGTGAGCTGTCCGGATCATAGTGTATACTTTCTACGAAACATGCTCTAATATCCTTACATTGGTGGATATCGATCGAGCTAACAACGTGTGTCCAGAATACTCATATACCTTGTCACCAAGGGTGTTAGACTTACCTTTAGTACTGAAGTGAGTACCCAGATATACATTTAATACAAAGCGTAGCCTCCTTACTTCCATGCTCAATAAAAACAGGTGACCGGCATGTCAAGGATCGTCATGCGGAGTATAAATGTCAAAAAAAGATCAGCAGTGCCTGCACCTGATTTGAGGCTCCTGGCTGCTTTCTAGCCAGCCTGCCCTTTTCTTTGGACTAAAAAGATGCTCGACTATCCGATGGATCGCATGTTTGAGACCAGTCAAAACCGAAGGAACGGGCAAGGTGGGGCAAGTCCAGGCAAGTCGCCTGATTGGGAATTTGAATTGATTCGACAAGTCATAAATTCACAACAATAATCAGTAGCTGGTTGCACGGAGTACAACAATCATTTTCCCCCAGACACCTCCCAGTGCCTTGGACTCGGTACTCGGTGTATTCCCGTCCCACGTTGCCGCCCGTACGGACTGAAACATCATGATCTGCGATTCAAGAGAGTCCAACCATCCAGCCATTGTGTAATCTAGAGATCGCACGTCCTGGGGATTTTCTAATTGTGCAACACGGCAGTGCAATATTATCTTAGAGACTATAGTTTCAATCCACTGCTGCCAGGTTTATCAAAATGTCAATCTGATTCAATTCAGTTTTTGCCTTTCAAGGATATCCAAGGAGAAATACAGAGCGACAGTGTGCAGCAGTTGTAAATCCATCATAAACTTGTATGGATAAGTCGCAATGAACTCGAATGCCAGTGTTGACTCTGCTGAGCTGCAGTTTCAGGCTTATCCTGCCAGAATTAGGGACAATGGAAAAGGGCTATTGTGGCTAACTCATAATTGAGTCCTTTGTTGGATGAGGACAAAACGCGGAGGCGTCTGGTGTAAACGAGTCAGACACCATCCCTGATCCCGCGAAGTGGATTGAGAGAGAATAGTTTTGAAGTAAATCAAAATTAAAGGAAACACTCAGACCACAGGACCAATTCGGAAAAGATGTGTTAGAAAGATACCTTAAGATAGGTAGTCATCCTTCCTAAGGGATACGTACACCTAAAATATAGGCAGAGATGCATACTAAGGTAACCTACAGCTGTTAAAGCCCACTGAATTTTCCTAATTTTAGTTAGAATTTTCTGCTACGTCGGAATATTTTTAACATAATTTTTCATTTTATTATTTTATTTGATTTAACACTACTGCACTAGTATCTATCTGGTAGTGGACCAGTAGTGATAGATAGACTGCTCCGTACCGCCTGCTAGAATTTCGCCTCCCAGGATCCACAAGCTTCAGCAGGCTCGAACGGAGCTAACCAGACTATGGAGTAGTTAAACCAGTCCCAGAGAGAAAAACAGATTCTCGACTCCGTCCGGATCCTGCATGGCGGAACCCGCACACCGTCATTCCACCCAGACTAACTCCGTAGGCACAAATCAGTTGTAGCGCTCGGGCTAGTGGGGACTGCCAACACAGCAGGCGGACCGTCCGTGTACGGGGAGGACAAGGATTCAGGCCCAAGGACTCGATGGATACACTACTACAAACAATCTGAGATGACCGCGCCTCGTATTACCTTTCACGATTTAGCCTCAAGCCACAATGGTCTGTGGAATTACACGGGAGTCACGCAGGATTACCGTGGCAGTGGATTCAACAGACATTGGAGGGAAATATGACCAAACTTCGCCATTAAAAATGCGGCTAGATTTTGAATTGGACTTCCAGTGGGATTCTAGTAATCTTGCGGAAACCAAACTATGCAGATCTTCGCAA